ATAATGTCATTTTTAAATGAATTTTTCACTCTAAAACAAATGAGGAAAAAAAGTATTTGAAAGAAGAGTCTGTTAAAAATTAAACATGATTAAAATTTTCTTTTCGAGAGAAACTATAACATTTTAAGTAAGATTAGAAAAAAATTGCATTAAAAGATTATTCCTTTAAATCAAGTAAAATTAAAATGTTTTATTATGGTATAAGAAGTGTGGTAAAAATTCAACTTAATTTTTTTACCTGTAAGAAACAGAAATACAGATTATGTAAAATAAAGTTGATAATTAGTATATTTGCTTTTATAATAAAAAAATTAATAGTGAAGAATATTCAATTCACTTTTAAGTGAAAAATGTTAACTTCCAAGTAACAAGACCAAAATTTCTAATTTTTTTCTTTAGTGAATTTAACCCCAAAAGTTTGTTTTTGTAATAAACATGAAATAATATAAATCTAAAGAAATAAAATAAATGTTTTATTTACTTCAATTAAATAAGCTAAAGTTATTCCATATATTAAAAAAAACAAGTGTTTCTTAAGCAGACTATAGCAGCAAACACAAGCTGAAATTAAAATGTCTCGCTCCCTGTGGAATTACAAGATTTGAAATGGGCCTGAAGTAAAAGACACCATGTTTCTAAACCTACAGTCAAAAATAACTTCTTCAATATTGCATTAAATTCACAAATCAAGAGAATCATCATGGCTTTTGTGTTTACTTGGAAGAAATAAGAAAATTGGCATGACATTTAAAAAAAAACTTGTCAAATATTTGAAATATTGATGAAAAATGCCTTGTAAAGAAATCAATAAATGGTATTTATTTACTATCATTATAAGATAGTTGGCTATTATTATTATTTTTTTTTTTTTTTTAATAAATTTGATTTAGTTTGTCACAAAGCTGTTACTGTATATACTTGAATATAGTGCAAGTTTTTATGATCAGGTTTTTTTTTCTTTTACACAAAAACGGGGTCACACTATACACAAATAATTTTTTTTGAAGAGGTTAAAAATCATGCATTTTCAGTGACTGTTTATACTATACACAGGTAAATTGTTTTTCTGGAGGGATTAAAATTCATGCAAAAAATTTCAAGGGTTGCATTATACACATGTATATACTGTAAGCATATATAAGTCAGCTTATACATAGGTAAGCATTCAGTGAGAATTAAACTCGGAATTGGCCAACCAGATTAGCTTGCTAAGCATTAACCTATGTTGCAACAATCTAACCTAGGAAATAATTGGCTGTCATTAATAGTTATACGAGTATAGTGTCCAATTATCTCCCTTTTTTAAGCTTGATTGAGTAAAACCTGAACTTAAATTCTAATTTGCCAACCAATGAAGTTAATTCCACTTGAATTAGGTAAGGACCAACTGTACCAAAATTAATTATCATTTTCTACTAAGTTGACTACATACAGTTATTTCCTTCTTCCTTTTACTCACTGAAGTATAGACAGATTTAAGTAAATCATTTACCATTCAAAAAAGAAACTTCAAGTGGCTAAAACTATTCCTTGCACCTTTTCTATCTTTATGCTTAAAAAAAAAATGATTGGAATTAAGGACTTAGAAACATAAAAATGTATTAAATTTGAATAAAATCTTTTGATTTAATTTTGGTTAGATTAAAAGACGGACAAACTATTTGAGGTCAGTCAGACTACAAGATTTGCGTTTTTATCATAATTTACTTTATACATCATGCAAAAATAAGTTTAAGTAAAGCCAAAAGAAATTTCACACATTTTCTATCATTCTACTTAAGTTAATTATATGTAATTTTCTTTCTTTTCAGCGATTGTCCGTTTCCCCAAGTTATACGTGAGTTTCACATCAGACCAGTACTTAAGTATTTTTGCCATCGCACTGCCATATACAAATCCCTTTAAGTAAGTTGATCAACATTTAAAATAATTTAATTATTAAAAATGTTCTTGATTAGATGTTTGTTAATAAAGCTAGCATTCAAAACTCTCAGGCAGAATATTTATTTTAATTTTCTTCCTTAGCATTTTTCATTCACAACACTATGAAGTTTAAGCTAAAAAAATTTTCCACTTGTATTTTGAAAAGGAAAAGTGGTTTTTAAAAGAAAAATTCAGAGAATTCTATTGTCAATGTTACAATGATTGAAATTATTAACATAACATTACAAGTAGGACCTCGGTGTTTGCAAGAACCTCACAGATCACTAATAAGTTTCACAATTGGCCCAATAATTAAAATGTTCAAGACTTTTATTAACCCTAAATTACTTTGCAAAATAATATTTCAGAGCAGTAAAGTGTAAACATTGACATAAATCTTTAATAATAATAGGATTTTGGAAATATATAGGAGTAGATCATCATCATCATCCTCTTGACTTTTGTAATCGTAGAGTGGATCTGAATGCAGAAGCCACACTAATTCTTTTCCACAGTGATCAATCAACATCAGCCATCAGCAATTTTGGTACAGTCATACCTGTTCATTGTTTGACATTGTCAAACCAGTTTTTGTGTTGGCATCCTCTCCTGCATTCACCTTCAATGGTGCCTTGCATGATGGTCTTGCACAGACTGTCATGCTTTGTTGTAATTTGTCCAAACCACTCCATTTTTCATTGTTTGACAGTGGTAAGAAGAGGTTATTAAATTATTATTAAATTAAAATATTTTTCTTTCTAAAATGATAGTATGTCTGACAAATTAGGAACCAATTATGCACCAAGAAGCTTTTGAGTAACTTTTCTTAATCAAAGAAAGATTTATATGTACTACAAGAGAATTTTAGTTGAACAGAAGTAAGATTATAAATTATTTTTATAATTTTTATAGCCAGTTAGATTTTTTCTCTCTGCTCATAATGAAAATACTTTTTCTTTCCAGGTTCAGTCATTACATGGTCTCATTGGCTTATCATGTGATAGCTGCTTGGTTTACTCACTGTCGGGTTGAGTGGAGATGGCATTTTGTGAAGTATGTCCAGAAGGTGTGTATCTTCATTGCTATAATCTTATTTATTTTGCATTTCTTTGTTTATTTTGTACACTTTTTGCTTAGTATCTTTTTGTTTTTTTACTTGCATTTTAAGCTAAAATAATTTTTTGGATTTAAATTGTAATTGGGAACAATGAAATAACTTTAGATGATACTTAAATTTATAGTCAATATCACAGGAACTTGCTAGATGTGTTGCAATTAAAGTTACTGAAAAACATTTCTGATTTACTTCATGCTGTTATTTTTGATTATTTACAGTTGTAGTACTTTAAAATATTATTCCACAGTTATATTTTTTAAACAACTATTTTCTTTCTTAAAATCATTACAATTTTGGCTGATGTATTCTTTGGCCTTCAAATTAAATTGTGGGAATTCAAACAGTTGTGATGTCAAAATAAAAAAAATGAAATACTTAAAAATACTTCTGACAACTTAAAGTACAACCATAATTTAATTTGAGTTGTTTATGAAAGTAGAAACTAATTTTGAGGTTAATTATTACTATTGTTATTATTTTATTTTATACCAAGCCATTTACTGATAAGTCTTGTGTATTTGGATATTTTCTTGGTGCACTGTTTATTAAGTTGCTTTACCACTGCATTAATATTAAATTCTCACTATGCATTTCCCAATGCATTACTGTATTACAAATGTTGCAAATGTTCTGCAGCATTTGATCATGTAGCTTTGATGGAAAGTTCTTTTACATGTAGTGCATTTTTCAGATCTATCACATTCAGCCTATCACTTGTTTTATTCTTCATAACATGCCTTGTCTGGTCAGTAGATAAAACTTGTTCAAGATATAAAAATATTAAGTCAAAACCAGAATCATTCTTTTATGATGGAATACACAAAAATGTACATAAAAATTGCGTAAGATAGAAAGGAATACCTTAATGGCTGAACAATACTGTTATGAATTTATATAAATGAAAGAGAATAAATAATGTTGCATCAATGTAAAATGTTAAAACCTTTGGAACCTTTATAAAATTTATTTGCTTTACTTGCAGAGTTTAAGTAGATATGTCCAACAGGAATTTGAAGAGAATGCCAAGCAGAGGTTAAAAAGTCATGATACAAGCCCCAGCCCTGGCAGTAGTAGCAGTGCTACACGTGCCCGTGCAGGTAGCTGTGATGGTGCAGACAAAGGCAGGTAAGAGTGCTGTATAAACATGCAGATAATTCCATTTTCTTAATATCAATGAACAATTTTTGTTGAACTTGAACTTTCAGGATTATGCTTTGCTATTTAAAATATTAAAATTAATATTCACTTTCTCCTCTCTATAGAACAATTTTAGTTTTCTGTTAAGAGTGAGTAGAAATAATGACTTAATTGGACTTTATTATCACAAAGCATCCTATTTATTTATTCATCTAATCATGTAATTTTTTTTTTTTTTTTTTTTTTTTTTTTTTTTCAACAATTCAATATAATTTAAAACAAACTTTGTAAAGAATTTGTTTAAACAGTTCCTTTGGAAAGATAAAATATTTTTTAAAACACTACAATTATGAATATAGTGCTGAAGGATTGATACTCCTTTTTAATCTGAAATGCATTCAATTTTAATGGATTATTAGTAAATGAAGATATGCAGGTAGTTATTGGTGTGGAAACCATGAGGTGAGTTTGTATTCCTGCCTCATCAGTTGTATTCACTTTCACACCAATGCTCTTGGCAAAGGCATGAATCCAAATCTCCACATACCAGCTATTGCTTAAATAGACTGGGATTTATAGTTTTGGGTGGAAACCAGTTTAAGAGAAGGAAAACTCTGAATTCAAAACTTTAGAAAAGGCAATGAGAAATCATTCTATTATCTTTCCCAAGTGGGGATAGCAATTCATAGATAAGGTTTAAAAAAAAAAAGTATCTGGAAAATAATGATTGCCCATGTCCTAAAAGGACATGGCATTTAAAAACAAATTAAAAATTTGCAGATTTTGACACCTTTGGCACTCTCTATCTTTGCATGTATTGGTCACAATGCTTTCTAAAGAATTATACTGGATAAAACATGCTGTAAATATGTTGTTTCAGCAAACAACTCATCATAGGTGCAAAATTGGTGAGACTAATTATACCTCACTCTAAAGAAAACAATTAATTCACTCCAATCAAGGTGATAATGCCATTAAGATACAAGGGGTTACTGTGAGTGAAAGAGAATGAAAAAACTTTAGAAGGAACTAGCTTCCCTTTGCATATCTGAAGAAAAATAACAGAATAGCTGCTGTATTCATTGTGACTTTGACAGAAGTTATCAAATATAATTTATTGAATGATTTTCACTAAAACCCAAACATGTTTTTTTTTTTCTTTTGTTTTCAGAAGAAGGTTTAAATCTGGCTCTTCTTTACAAGAAAGTCCAGCCAAGCTTCCTATCAATGAGAAAGCATATCAGTTTCACATGGAACTGACAGAAACTTGTATTGACATGATGTCAAGATACACACATGCAAACTTTGCTGCTGTACCCAAAAGGTAAGTTTTGTATAAATATTATTACTATCTTACTTTCACATTTCTTTACAAAATTCTATTTCATGGTTCTTTGGAGTAAATAAATCAATTTTCAATTAACTCACAAAAATGAACTATCCAAAGACACAGATATTGGGACATCTACATGGTGAGTATTTTTAGCTTGGTCACAAGTGTTTGTGTTTTTATGTCCAGTGGTTAAGCCTGTAAAATGGGATCTTCAAAAGCAGCTCCGCACTCACTGAAAAGAGATAGAATAAATAAATAAATGAACATTTTTAGAGTCAAGTGACAACAAACAGGATGTTGGAGATTTCCAGTTGTAGGCCTATATTAACAGTACCTCTTGATGATTAGAAGAGGGGTGGTAGGGGATTTCTTGCTGGTTGAAAGAAGAGCTGATCTGTTAGACTTATGTGGTAGAAGTTGTTTCAAATGTCACCTACCTACACATTTACTTAAACTGTAAGTCTCTGAAAAAAAAAAAAACACCTAATATAGTGAAACATGTCTGTATTTTTCATTTCTCAATAACATTTATTTTCACCTTTGATCTTCTGTGTGAACGTACAATGGTTCTTTTCCAATTTTTGTGCACACCAATGTGAAGGATTTTTCATGTATTAATCTAACAAATTTTTTAGTGGAAACCCATATTTGAGTAGACCTTCCGTTTATTTATTAAACAATATATTGATTTTTCATCTACCAGCCTGAATATTTGAGAAATCTTAAAATTAAGACAAAAAATAAATGAAGACAAATAAATATTTGTGAAATCCTTTTGAAGAAAATAGGCAAGTAGACTAAAATAAATAAATATATTGTTTAATAAATGGAGTATCTACTCAAATATGAGTATCAATTGAAAACAATGTTTAATCCAGTGTTAGTCACCTCAGATTTCTGAAAATGGAATCTCCTGGCATCTGCTTCCCACAACAACTGAGCTACAATTGTGCCACATGTGACTAATGCAAGGTTAAGTAATAAAACACAAATGTGAATGAAAATAGATGGGTTATATGACCATTCGGTGAAAAGCTGAGAAAGTGACCTAGTGTATGTTTACACTAGTACACAAAAACTGACATTAATTTGCTTAATATATTTTTGTATTGTAGTTAAGTTACCAGCTTAGAATCCCAAATCTGTGAACCATATTTAAATTTTACCTGGGGATATTTTTATTCAATTTGCACTAATACTCTTGGGAAAGGCATGCATCCATTTTGTTTTTCATTCATCAATCCCATTAATCAATGACAACCTTGACAAAATGTTTAGTTACTGAAGATGAAGAGTGGATGAGTGTGCACTTAAGCAAATCACTTTCCCATAATTATCTCACCTGTCGTCACTGAAAGCACAGGTTTCTGTCACAGGTGATGAGTCTGTACTTAGATAGATGACTAGTTAGGAACAACAGTTTCTGTTAGCAAGTTGAAACCTGGGTGCTAGACAATACTAAGTAAATATCAACAATTTCACCTACATCCATGACCCAAGAGGAGTTGATAATCCATAAAACCAAACAAAACAAACAAACAAATCACCTACCTCCTGACAGGCAAAAAAAAAAAAAAAATGAATATTTTAATAAAAGGCAAGAATAAGATATTTTTAATTATTTTTAATGACAGTATTTTTGTGCCTTGTATTTCAGTATGTGCTGTTATTTAATGCTAGAATAATTTTTTCATTGACCACATTTAAAAGTATTTAATCACATTAAGAAAACATTGAAAAGTAAATTTCATTAGGGAATTTGTATATAAACTATTGGACACTTATCAAATCAATTGACTTTTTATTTTTATAAAATAAACTGAAGTAATGTATAATTGCCTAAAAATTTTGTTCTATTATACATGAAAATGTATTCAGGATCATTTTTTTTAATCTATAGAAGACAGATGTCATTATACACAAAACTTTATAGATGAATAAATAGATTATATTTTTGAATATTTTTCTGATAAAAACCTGAGACTTTCTGTATCTTTTAAAACTTCAGCCATGATTTTCACAATTTTTCTTTAACCTTTAATCTTATTTTTTTAGGTCACCATTAATGGAGTTTCTTCTTTCTGGTGGTCGGACAAAATCATGGCTGGTTGGACACAAAATAATTAGTATCACAACAAGTGGTGGTGGTAAAAAGATTGGCCTCCAGGGAATTTGTGAAAAATGCCTCATGCTATATCAACAAGCCAAGGAAGACAATGCCATAAAAAGGATGAGGGAGAAAAAGTCAAAGGATCGTAAGCGGCATAAATCAGCTGCTTTGTTCACTAGAAGTGTAAGTCATATTGATGAACCAACGTTACGAGCCATGCAAACTACAGGAGGTAGTGAAGATGGCAGTAAGAAACGGGCAATTGATGACATGGGACTGTTAGATGCAGAACCACCAGTATTTTCAGATGACATCAATCCTATTTCAAAAACACAAATCAAAGAATTGCTCCAAAATTCTTCACAAACACATCAAGGTAACTGGATGTGACATTTTAATGGTTGTATTTTTGCTGTCTGTAGCATGATTGGAAATATACACTACAGTTCAAAAGTTTGAGGCCACAGCTGGTAATTTTTTAAATTAGTCCAAAATGTAGTTGTTTTGTACATTTTAAATAAGAGAAAATTATTATACATGGTTAAAAGAAAGTGAGACATGATTTTTATTAGAAATTTTATTATGACAAAAAGAAAAAAAAATTATTTTATGATTGAATTTTACTCTCATCAAAATATTCTCTGTTAGCTTTGATCACTGCAGCACAAACTTTTTGGCATCTGTTGCAAAAGTTTCTCAAAGTATAAGTATGATAACTGATTTCTTTTTTCAATAACTCTAAGAGCTCGTTTTTCTATTTTTTTTTTTTTTCACTATTCTGCCATGCTAATTTTTTTGGTGGGTGGCTTCAAACTTGAATTGTAGTGTGTGTGTTATCTATCTATCTATCTATATATATATATATATATTGCTGGCCAGCAAGTAATCTAGAAGAGAAGAATTAAGTTTAGTTTTTAATAGAATTAAGGCTATAAAGTATTTGTGAATTGTATGACTACATTAAAAGAGAAAAAGTAATAACTATGAATTTAGAACATTATAAAACGAATCTGTAAATAGATTGTTTTAATATTATACAACTTTCTTTTGTTTCATAATGTTATAATTAGAGTATGAAATGAGAATGTAAATGTAACAGTTATTATTTGACAGAAGTAATAATATTTGTAAACAACTGTCAGAGATAATCTTGGATTTTTGATAGTATTCAATATTATTTTGATTCATAATATAATGTAACCCTTCTGATATTTTAATGAAAATTTCAACCAGTTGTATACTTCCAGTACTTCTGAAATTCATGATAAAATTTCTTCAAAATCATTTAATGGAATTATAAGAATGTAAATTAATTGCAACAATCCAATACCTACTTGGCCACAAACTAGAGACCCTTTTGATGGCAATTATGTTGAGCGTAGTTATTCGTCTTTTTTCAAATTTCACATAGGACCCATTTAACTTTAAATAATTCTTTTTTGCATAAAATTGTGACTAGGAGATCCTTACTGCTAGAATTGAAATTGAATACAATAAATACAACCAGCAATAACATGAAACACACATTTTTTTCCTTTTTCTTTTTTACCTATCTATGTTTAAAATTTTTTGAATTTTTCTTAATAGCAACAACAGCTAACTTTTGTTAAATTCAAAATAAAATTGTTCTTCAAATATAAAATAGAAATCAAGATTAATAAAGATAGGAAAATGTGATAAGTCATTTGAAATGTTTTTATTATAAAAATGTGAACTTTTAACACTAACTGAAGACCTCAACACTTAATTCTGTGATTCTATTAAACTGTAGTGTTGATGTTAAATATCATAATGATGAAGGCTACCAAAAAATACCTAATAAAGAGTATATCATCCAAAATATGTCAAGAGCAACAAAGATAACAACAATATTCGATTAAAAAGGAAAAATAAATAAATACTAGTGAGCTCCAACCCAACCCTCATACCAAAAAAAGAGAGTTTGGAGTCAAAATTTAAAATGACAAATTATTAAGTTTTTAATGGGTCTAAACAACAAATCATTGGTTGGGAAATTTAGCAAAATTTAAAGAAATAAATCCTCTTAGTTTGGGGATAGCTTTATTTACCCTTTTGATTTTCTTTAAATGTGAGTAAATTTCCAGAAATTATAGTCAACATTGATGACTTCAAATGATTGATGATTAGTTGAAAAATGTTTCCCAGTTTGTGTTAAATGTCAGATCAAAATATGTTTGGACTCTGTCTAGATCAAAACATGATTCAAGCTTGGACTCTGTCTAGATCAAAACATGATTCAAGCTTGGACTCTGTCTAGATCAAAACATGATTCAAGTTTGGACTCTGTCTAGATCAAAACATGATAGATTTCTTAAGCTACATTTTAATGGATTTTGCAGTGTGCACAGGTGCATTATTGTGTCAAAAAACATTTGTCTATTCATTTTTAGGAAAAAAGATTTTTCAATTATAGGAGTTCAGTTTTTTGCAATATTATTCTCTATTCAAAAACATTAATTTGCTTTTCACACTTTGGGTTTGGTTTATATTATTTCCTTTTTGCTCAGGAGTGTAAAACTTCATCTCATAGCTTCAGAAAACAAAAAATTAATTTTGGCTTATTTACTTTTGTAGATATATTAAAAATATATATCTTTTATTTGTCAGGCACGAAAAATTCAGATTCAATCGGTACAATGTTCTTACCCAACTTATGCACGTGTTGGTGTGTCAGCTGGGCAGAGATTCGGATACGTTCTCCCAGTGGCAGCATCTCATGGATGATGCGGATAGAAAATCACCTAAACCCGTATGGAGGTCCCAGTGATCTTCCACTTGCTGATATTAGTGTCCTCCAGATCCCTGTTAAACAGCATGGTCCATGTCTTAGTGTGGATGGGTTTAATTACCGTAGCAATCTCAGTGAGGATGAATATGAGACTCTTTACAAACAGCGCTTCCCAACTGAGCAGGAACTGGCTGCTCGGCGATTTAATGATTATTACAGCAAGGATGGTAAGCAGCATCTTTCATTCTCTTCATCTATTTTCTCCTTTTTCTTTTCTCTTCATCTATTTCTCCTTTTCTTTTTCCTTTTTTTTCCTTCTTTCTTTCTCTCCTTCTTTTTTATTTATTTCTTTTTTTTCCTTTCTCCTTTTGGAAAGAGTTTTCAGTTTTTCTTGAACTGTATCATTCTTTAGAGCAAGAATGATTTACTCATCAAGTAATTGGTTGTTTCTGTAGCTTTGACCAATTTTTTTTACATTTAAAATGATGGAAGAAAATCATGTTTAATCTTGAACATTTTAGAAATTTTGTCTGAAAACGTTTTTTTTTTGTTTTTTCTCTGTTTAATTTTTTTTTATTATAAAAAAAAAATTACTGACAAAACAAAAATCATTTTTTTCCCATTTATTATCTCTTTTCCACTTTTTATCATTTCTGTTGCCCACCACACATTAATGCCTCTTCAGCTTTATTATATTTCTCCTTCCTTTATCATCTTTTTTCTCCTTTATTATCTCTCCCCAAACTTTATTATTTTCCCCTACCCCTTTATCGTCTCTTTTTCCCCTACCCCTTTATCGTCTCTTTTTCCCCTACCCGTTTATCGTCTCTTTTTCCCCTACCCGTTTATCGTCTCTTTTTCCCCTACCCGTTTATCGTCTCTTTTTCCCCTACCCGTTTATCGTCTCTTTTTCCCCTACCCGTTTATCGTATCTTTTTCCCCTACCCGTTTATCGTCTCTTTTTCCCCTACCCGTTTATCGTCTCTTTTTCCCCTACCCGTTTATCGTCTCTTTTTCCCCTACCCGTTTATTGTCTCTTTATGTTAAAGATATCCCCAAATACCAACCTTTTTAAAATCAAAATATTTTTGTAATTCATAGCAAACTCAATATTTCACTCCATTTATCTGATACTCTTTGATGACCTCCAATAACACCCCCACACCTAATGACTAAACTCAAAATCTCAAACAAAAATTGTTTAGTATTAATTGCATAAACATCTAGAAGCAAATAATGTACAAATGATGATTGGCTTAGTCATTTTAGATCAGCAAATGCCTTTTTCTCCTTTTTTTATCTTAACTTCTGAAGCATCACACAAATGCATTTCTTATAGTAAAGTTTTAAATCTCAGAGAGAAAAGAGTAACAGAATGAATCCAACTTGATGTTTCCATGGTGGAAACATTTAAAGCATGACAGATGGTCTCTTCTGATATGATGGGTGAGAGTTTGTTACTATTTCTTCCTTTGTGGGTTTTGTGCTGTTTATAAATGAAAAGTTTATTGACACAGTTTGTTGTGATAAAAAGCCATAAATATGTGACGACAACAACAACAACTTGTTTTAAACTGTTAAAATTTCATAGTTTTCCTTGTTTGAAATTTTTAATGAATCTTAATTCTTCAGCTAATGATTGGATAAGCTCATTTCAAGTTCTAGAAATTCTCTTATCACATTATTAAATATTTGAGATTAACAACCTTAAAATATTGCAATAACAATCATAAATATGAATGCTAGTTGTTATTTTAAGTAAAGGGGTATAAATGAAAAGATATGAAATTGACAACTTTTCCATTTCACTGAAACAGATGTTAAACACTTTTATCTTCTCTTGTTTATTTAATTTTTTTGGCTGAAACCAAGTAGTGGCTTTGATATGTCTTTTGTCTTAATGTGATCAAAATGGAATAGTCCATTATTTATGAGGTATTAGCAGGAGACATTAAACACTTCTATCTTTCTTTACTTTTTTCACTGACACCAAGTAGTGTATCTGATATGTTTTGTCTTTCCACATGATCAAAATGGAATAGTCTGTTATTTATGTGGTATTGACAAGGCACAGTGGTCAGGCAAATTAAGGAACTAATGAAGGGAGGGACAATTATTATATGATGGTACTGATAATAACTATTTCCCAAATTTAAAATGGAGACTAAAATTACTAAGTTAAATTAGAAACTACAGGGTGTGATGTATAAATTGTCAATTAAATTATACAAAAATGAAAATAACACTGACATCTCATTTTAACAGATATCTTTACCAAAATTACACAAAAATATCTTGAAATGCTAAAGAATAAATTTATTCAATAAAATTGACATTGGTTTCAACCACAGCCTCCAGATGACTTTGGATTGTCCTGCAACTCTTCTGGGTAGTCTCCTTGTTTAAATTGGTGAAAGCTGCCATAATCCTTGCTTTCAGTTCATCTCTGATGTTACAAGGAGTTTTGTTCAACTGCGCTCCACATCAAGGGGGTTGTGGTCTGGGGAGTTATATGGCCAGATGTAAGGGGTAATGTGGTCGCAGAAATTGCCTAACAGCCATGACTGTGTTCTTTTTGCTTATGTGGCATGGTGCAGAGTCCTGTTGCCAGACATAGGTTCTTCCAGCAGCCACCCTCTTGACCCAGGGCACCTCCTGAAGGCACTTGATGTAGGCTTCTGTGTTGAGCCTGAGGCCCTGTAGGAAGATGAATGGAGGAATAATGTCACCATCACTATTGATCACTCCAACACCATGATATTCACTGAATATCATCTAACTCTTTCCAAATCCTCTACACGGTCCTCAGATTGGCACCCAAGCACTCGTTTGTATTGGAGTTTCTGGCATGAATGCCAAGCAGTACAGCATGCCATTTCCAAATTTCTGGCAGAGAGAATTGTGTTATGGTGCTCTTTTTCACACAAACCACACCCAACGGACCCTACTATACTGTGCAGTTGACAAAATCAAAGACAAACAACATGTATGCGTAAAATTAAAAATATAAATTGGAGACAATTTACCCATCATACCCTGTACTTTCTACAAAATGTTACAGTTGCTTTTTATGGCAAATTTGAATAACTTTTCTTTTTTCCCACTCAATGCCACAACATTTTTTTTTTTTTTTTTTGACAATTTCTTGAATTGCTTCTAAATTGTTTTTTGCATTCTCAAGCATATGAAAAGTGCAAAAAAATTTTTTTACAAAACCCATATAGTTGTTATTGGGCTAAGAACATTTTTACCTATGTTAATTGCTTTAATATTAAAAAAAAAAATAGATGTATTTGATATTTTATTTACCTATTTATGGTCACATATGTTAAAACACTGGTTATTTTCTGATCATCAAAGTTAAGCAATGTTGAGCCTGGCCAGTACCTAGATGATTGCTTGGGAATACTAGGTGCTGTAAACTTTGAGGTACAGGTGATGTAATTGATAATGGCTCAGAATCATTAATCAGAGAGCCTAATTGGGTAGGTTATATTAACTTACATACAAATAGCCTTGGGAAAGGTTTGAATCCACCACTTCTCCCCCCAGCTACAGGTTAATTAGTAAGACTTGTATCACTAAACTATTATCTCTACAAAAAAATTCTTACAATCTAAAAAGATTTTCTTGTTTTAAATAACCTGGAAAGGATTGATAAGCTTTAAAAAACATGAATCAATCAATCTATTCTATCCAATTGATAAAAATAATAACTTTGTGTAACATTTGGTTAAATACTTTTCTAAAAGTGATCATAAGACAAATGACAAACAAATGCAGTAATTTTGACAGTTTTTATCTTCAAATTGTCATGAGTGAGAAAAGAAATTTTGTAAAATGAACTAGGTTTTTAAGTTATGTGGGTAGTGATTTTTTTTTATTTATTTTTGCCATTTTGTTTGATTGAAACCTGATTCTTTTCTTTTTAATCTCTAGATACTTCTACGTCCAGCCCTGAGACTGAAAGTTTAAGTATTTTTCGTGACTGCATAGATCAGGTTTGTAAGAACCTTTTATTCTCAATTGAATTAACTTCAAAATACCGACTTCGAACAGGGGGAGATAATCTGTGCAAACTCCTACCTGCAAATTCTAATGAAATCATTTTTATATTTACTTTATATTTCTTGTGTAGCTGTTTTTTTTAACTAATTTTTCATCCAAGGCTCAAGAGACATTCAAGGTAGAGGATTGCTGAACTGATGTTGTTGTCTCACAGCTCCATATCAAGTGTAAGAGGAGGTAAAAAATACAGTTTATGATATGTAGGAAATATAATTGTTAACTCTGGACTTCAAGAGGTTAAGATTGTAGTGATGGGGAAACATTCTCTCAGGAGTGTCCCACAAAGGAAGAAGCTGTCCAAATGGAACTGCCTTCTTCTTTATAGAATACAAAGGGAATGGGTTTGATTTTTTTTTCCCAGTGTACATGGCATAGTGAGTCATAGCTATGAAGGCCTAAACTTGGTGGAACTAAGGAATGTAGCATGTCAGAACATTTGCCATGGAAATAGCGATAGAGTAGTGAGAGGCTTGTGACATTTTGTCTGTGGGAAAGGGGTTGTGTGGAAAATGATTCATCACTCACAAGGCCATGTAGATGCTTTTTCACTCTATCAAGACTGCAAATGAGTTGCTGTCAATGTTGATTTTAAAAAATTCAACAATTGTAACATTTCTGAAAACATTTTCTAGGGTTATACCATAAAGTGATTTTAGACTATTTGTTTTAAACTATTTGAGAGAAAAAGCTGTTTGTGCAGAATTTCCTCCTTACAAATGGAATATGGAGGAAATGTGGCTGATTTAACTTCATGGAGAGTCTTAGCTGTAAAGGTCTGAACTAGTGGAACTAAAGAGTGGAGCTCATCTAAATATTTGTCATAAAGTGGAGAATAAGTCTTCTTCCTCAAGACTGTAAATAAATTTGAACTCTGTCAAGGCTGGAAAGTAAGGCTTAGACAGCTCCAGTTCAGCCATGACTGCAACATTCCATTCTTGATCTAATCTGACTCTTGTAAAAAAAAAAAAAAAAAACTTGGTGGGAGTCAGGTACTTCCTGGTGTCATTACAAAGGTTCAGTCATTTTCAATTAACAATCAAACAGGTAGAAATGAAATATTGACTTTTGTGAAATTTATAAAAATTGTAAGTTCTTTTTTCTCTTATGACTAATATAAATTTTTAAGTAGATAACTTAGTAAATATATAAAGATTAAGCGTAATATTTATTTAAGATACAAATTATTTTTTCTGTTTCTAATACAATTTTCATAGGTCTTGTTGGTTATTCACCTAAAGTAGATGGATTAATGTAAATTTGTGTAAAATAGCTTACTATCACATTATACTGTTTCTTTACTTGTATTATTTACTTTCTATTTTGTGTCTCCAACAGGATGGTGGTGTTCAACTTGAGCAGAAAGGGAGAGTTTTGAAGAAAAGCACATCATCACCTTCATTACTATCTGTGAGTAGTACTGTATGCACTTGTGGGTCTGGGAAGGCCACTGCAGCTGAATTTTCTCCTTTTGATCAGGAGAGTCGGGGTGTGCCTGGCTCAATATCAGAGCCAAGTAAACCGGGGGTCTCACCTGCAGGGAAAGAAAAACAGCATTCAATTAATGTGTCAAATCTGTCCCCTGGGGCAAGCAGGTCAGCCACAGGTAGCAGGTCTCCTTCTGGCTGCAAGTCTCCAGCACCCAGCAGGTCACCTGTGCCTAGTCGGTCTCCGGCACCCAGCAAGTCACCTGTGCCAAGACGACCATCTGCTGCAAGCCTGTCTCCTGCTATAGATGCTTCTGTATCCACTGAAGACAATGTCTTCTTTTCTAACCAACCCGTAGGAGTCGTTTCCAGTGACACCAATAATAGGAGTTTGAGGCGGCACTTAAGTTCTACAGACAAGTCACCCCGGTTATCTCACCGTTATCATCAAGAACAGCAACATTACCCTCATCAAACTTCACCTCTCTCTCCTCACCAGCTGACCTTCAGTAATGCCAGTTACCCAGTTAGTATAGTTTCTTGATATTGCTGCCTCTTGATGGTCTGCTCTTATGCATTATCCACTGCCTCCATTTAGGAATCCAGTTATGCTTTGTGTCCAAGCACTGAGCTTTACTATTATGTTGTTGTAAGCATGTTAGAATTTCACTCAGCTGTTGTCATGGACGTTGTCATCATCGTGGTTATTATTATTATTTTGTAATGTGTATTGCAATGTTGTACTTGGCTATTTTTAGTTTGTATTTTTAAATGAGGTCATCAAAATGGTCATCATGAATCCATAATGGTTCAAACTATTCAAAGATGTTATAAGTGTTTCAGACTTAATAAGATTTCTAGATAAAAATTCAAGTTGTTACAATTATAAAAGGTTAGAAATGACTCTTATTAAAATATGAATATTAAATAGTAGTGTTAGTTTAATAAATATTATCTAAAAGGAAGGGAACATTTCATATAGAAAGTAAAACAATATTTAGCTAAAATATATTTTTTGAGAAGTTTTGTCACTCACTTTTTTTTATTTGAGCCAATATTTGCTTAATGGTATATGGACTATTAGATTAAAGGAATACCTAATTACAGAAAAACCAGATCATTTTTGAGAATAAATTTATGCAGATCCAACAATGTTCTTCAGCAGTTAAAATCAAGACATAAGTCTTGTTAAACAATTTTTTAGATTTTGCGTTTTTTTATCAACTGCGCTAGTTTTCTACTGCATAAAATGTATTAAGTGTCTTTACAAAAAATTATGTAAAGATTTTTTATAATGAAAATTCTGGAATAATAAATATAGGATATTGTAAGTTAGATATCATTTGTTGTTATTGAAATTCTAAACTTAACTAGCTTGATTTGTTGATATTTTTCTTTCTTTTTTTTTATTGTCGATGTAAAACAAAATCTAATCAATTCTTTCTTAAATTGGAAAAATTTAGAATAAAGTAAGTGAAGACAAGAACTTTCCAAAAGCTTAAAGAACTCTTAATTTATCACAATAATATTGGTAGACTTAATTTAATGTAAGGCATTACAACATGATAACTTACGATGACCAAATCAACTTTATTCTGAATTCTTCTAACAGCTGAAAAATAGGTTGATTGATATTTGTTGTCTAAAACTACTAAACAACAACAATAACTTCCTTCGGTGTTGGACTTAAATTGCATAGCCTTAGAATGGCATATAGAATAATTTCTACTAAATATTATAAATAGAACCTTCACTTCCTGAAATTATATATTTGCATTATTATTTCTGCTTTAAACTTGCCTTCTTAGAGCTTCCTTGCTGTCCTGGTATCACGTCCCAATACATCCCTTTACAAATGTGAAGTGCTATTAAAATGTTTTCTTTTTAAAGCTTGCTTGGCTTTGAAGCAAAAAGACAAAGAATTCTGTAGAACTGATCTTCTATTTTTATATCAAGAAAAGGTATTTTCTTGTTTGTAGGGATTAAATTGCATATCCATTGTTTGTTCTATTATTAATGCACTTAGACCAAAATTCTTTCTATCCAACATCAAAATGTCGGCTTTTGCATATGATGAAGACTGTTTGGGTTTGAAGAAGAAGCAAAATAAGAAAAGAAACCAAATCTTTTGGAACCTTATTACACAGCATGTTTATTAGTTTCAGCATCTTCATATTTTTTGTTGTTTTTTTTTTATTTTTCTCTCTTTACTTTTTTCCTTTAAGGAGTATTACTTAATACTATTTTCTCTGTGTTGTTACTTTTTATTTTACAAATTTGTTTCACCAAATAAAAACATGTCAAATAGATTAAACATTGAATTTTAAAAAAAAAATGATTTTTTAAGATATTTCAGATTTAATATAATATAATTACCAGTAATTTAGTGTTTGGTTTATATTTTGGTATGAACTTGTCTAATGAATTTAATTATCCAAAAAACAACATGAAAAAGGAATTCCAGTTATTAATATTTGATTAGCCAGGAAGAACTGATAGATTTTTCTTCTTTATTCTATATTCATAAACTGCAACTATGTTTTTAGGGAAGACTTTTGTTTTAAAATTCTCTGATAAAATTTTCCTCCAATAAACAAAATTAATATTCTATAGATAATTTATAAAGATAGTGTAAAATATATATTTTATGAAATGTATGCATGTATCTCTCTCTCACACACACATATATATATATATATATATATATATATATATAGTTTTATTTATTAAACAGTGTATAATATGTCTATTGGCATGTGCATCTGAAAACTTTAAGTAAAGCAGGGATCAATCCTGTGTCCCTCTTTGTAGGATATATATATATATATATATATATAGGAAAATATATGGCAAAGTCGAAAAAGTTTTCTTGTGATACATTTTGTCCTTTAGGACTTCATGGGACTAAGTTTGTTATATGAAGTCCTAAAAGATGAAATGCGTAACAGGAAAACTTTACCCCAATATTGTTCTTGATATATAAGAATATATATCATTATCTCATTTATATAATAAATGCTGATGTCACTGTGTCACACTTTTTAAACTACTTCTAGAGACTGTAGCCCAACATATACCATTTGGGAATCAAGCCAATCCATGAGCAAATTAGAAACATTCCGGGCTAGATCCAGACCCACAATCCTGAAATTTTGGATTCCCAAGTTTTCATTACTGCGATTGTTTTTGGTTATTTTTTTTTTAACATAATTTTTGTGACAAATTTTTTCGTACAGTAACAATTTTTATAATTTGGAAATATATTTGGGAATAATTGAGATTATTTGTGAAAGTCACCCATGAAATAAAAATAATTGTTTGTACAGAAAGTAAAGACCTACATATATCAAATTGTCTTTAAGTGGTGGCATAAAAATTATTGTTGAACTTTTAAAAGGTAAGCTTAAATATTAATGCAGTACTTAAATGCATTGATCAATTTTGAATTCTTCTGTAGTTTATTATTGCGTATCACATCTACTCCTGCCTACCTACTTTTAAGCTAGTATCTATCTATCTATCCACACACACGCATTTTTTCCTCACCAGTAGCACAACTCAGTTTCATGCACAATACAATCTTCCATCTTGATACCATTTGTTGTAATAATCACGGAAAAACCCTTTGTGTTATTCAGCTGGAAAGAGAACAGGTTAAAATCGTTTTGTGTCAGTCCCACTATGTCTTCTCAAATGAGCAATGGTAAGTGGAAAAATTCATTCAGGCCTTCAGTAATGGTACCACCATTCATACTCTGGCTTCCATCTTCCAAAGTCCATTCAAGAACTATCAAGAGAACAGTAAATAAGTTTTTAAAAAAGAGGAAACAGTAAAGAGGAAAATTGGATCAGGAGGTTGCAACAGGAAGAGAGACCATTGTTTCAATTTAGAGTTAAGGAGATCAATTAGAAAAGATCCAACTCAATTCATAAGACGTTTGGCATGTGAAAGAGGAGTTTCAGCTATGACAGTCCAAAGAGCAGTGATAAAAGACTTGAAAATGAAATCGTATGTGAAATGTGTGAGGCACGTTGTTACTCCAGGACAGAAAGTTATGTTAGAGAGGGTGAAGATCATCTTGAATAAGTTGGAAAACGATCCTGGAATAATATATATATTTGAACTTTATTTCAATCCTTCATGAACTTCTGATCATTAGCTATGATTAATTAATGATGAACATGTCGATTTTTATTTATGATTGATTTCATAACGATTCTTCTTTTAAGGTTGGAGAATAATTATACATTCTTATTGCTCAAAGTAGAATCTAGTAGTGTTATAAAAACCTCAGAGAATCCCAGTTAGATAGCTTTAATCATTTCGAAGATACAACATTTCAAACCATAATATAACAATTGGACAGTTTTGCTGTTACACTGTGTGTGTGTGAATCAAGAGAAGACAATTATTGTCTTTAAAAATGTTTCCATATTTACAAGAATAGATCAATAAGTATGTAGCCTGACATTTACTTAATTGAATTTTGATCAGAAATTTTTACACTGATTGGTGATGAATTCTTTTCATATAAGTGCTTTTTTTCATCATTAGGCTACACATTTTGTTCTACCTTCATATTCAATTCCAGTTTTATCTAAAATTGGAATTGTAAAAAGAAGCATAAAGAAATAAGTCTTTTATTTGTGTGAGGGTGGGGGGCAGTGGAGTTAGGGCTGCTGTACAATTTAAAAACATGAACCTATTAGGTTTATTTATAAGCAATTTTTTATGAATTGTTAACATATTTGTATCCAGTTTTCTATCAAGTTTTAATTTATTGTTTTAAAGTAACATCTAAGTAAACTATTCAAAATATCTTTCATTACAATTTAATCCTTTTGTAAATTAAAAAAAATATCCAAATCCCTTTGAAGATAAAGAATAGAAAACAACTTCAGCAATTATTATTTAATTGGAATCCTTTTTCTCATTAATTCTTTTTAGATGAATGAAATAATTTTCTAATTATCAGACATGTTTATCCTATTTGACTACCTCTTTTTATCTATGCCTGATATTTATCTTATATAAATATGTTTGTGTTTGTATGTATATGTAAATGCATGTGAAGATAAAAAAAAAAAAGTATGTATTTTTTTTGTTTTGTTTTTTTTTATTTTTAAACCAGCAATTCAATTCTTTCAGTTCCATTATCCACAAATAATGAGGTTAAAAATTATTACCGAATAATCCAACATTAAATATTAAGACGTCTTCAGAAGGTTTAAATTTGAAAATTTTATTCAGTTTAATGAAAATCAGAAGATAAAAAAACTGTTATTCTTGAAATATTAAATTTTGTAGATTTCTCAGCAGAAGTATAATATTGAAAGAATTGGATTTACTGAAGTCTTCTAAGATTTAATTAAATGTAAATGTTAATTGAATGATAATATTGGGTTGTCTGAAAAAAAGTTCATGCTGATTTTTAAGGGAAATTAAAACACAAAACAAAATCATGCCATTAAATATTTATTTGACTAAATATGAATCATTTTGTTGAACAAACTTTCCCCATTTTTCCTTCAACTTAAAGATTCCATCTTCCCAGAATGTTGGTGGTTTCTTGGCAAAGAACTCATTAAAGTGGTTTTTATGTCATCCAAAGAATTAAAATTTTTACCATTAAGATTATTTTGCAAAGACCTGAATAAATGAAAATCTGAAAGAACATTTGGTGAATATGGTAGGTGAGGTAATACATCCCAGCCAAGCTGCAACAAAACCAAAGTAACGTTAGGTCTGGCACTATCTTGATGGAAAACAACACCTTTCCTGTTCGCCAATACTGGGCATTTTTCTTGAATTGCTGTCTTTAATTCATCCAGTTGCAAGCAGTACTTTTCAGAATCAATTGACTGGTTACTTGACAGAAGCTTATAATACAGGATTCCTTTCCAATCCCACCAGATACACAGTATGACTTTCTTAGGATGAAGACCTGCTTTTGAGGTGGCTAAAATTGGCTCATGTTACTTACCCCAGGATCACTGAACATTGTTGTAAACGATCCATTTCTCATCACCCATCACAATTTGGTTAAAAAAGGTGTGCATTTTCATTGTGTTTATACAGCAATTATTCATTGATGAAATGCAATCTGAAAGATTCTTTTCACTCAGATCATGTGGTACCCAAGCATTGTAAGATCTGAGTACCTAAGCTTCACTAAGTTTCGTGGATGGTGGATTTTGATAAATTTAGTGTTTCTTTCAATTCCTGTGTTGTGTAATGTAGGTTATTCTCAATCAATGTCTTGATTTGGTCGTTATCTGTAATGGGGTGGTCTGCCTGAGTGCTTTTCATCAAAAAGGTTACACTACCCAACTTTAAACTTAGCGAACCATTTCTGTACAGTTCATTCGACTAAAGCACTTTCAATGTACACAGCACATATCTTTTTTGTTGCTTGTGAGGCATTTTTGCCTTCATGGTAAAAAAAAAATAAAAAAATAAAAAAAGCAACAAGTGTCTAAAATGCATTTTATAATCTTCCATTTTCACAGAGTTGCAAAACTGATATGAATTAAGTAATTTTAAACTTTCTTTCTCAAGAGATAGTTTGTGAAATGTAAGCATATATCTGTCAATAAATTTGACATGTTCTAATGTTTTGGAACATGAACAATTAAAAATTGGCATGAACTTTCTGGACAACCGCATACTTTTAAAAACAAAATACTAGGAAAAAAAAAAGGTAAGGAAATTTTTTTTTTTAAATATTGTGAAAATCTACCGATTTTTCTTTATAAGTAAACCATATCTTAAAAGAATTTCTTTAATTTTGTTAAAAACTAACATAAACCCGATGATTTTAACTATCAGCTCTTGCTTAATCCTTGGTAGAACCAAGTTGAATTTTTTCAGGATGTTATAAATATAAAAAAGAACATCAGTAGCCATGACTTGAATTTGAACCCTCTTGTCCAAATTACTGCTTAGTGTAACTCCAGCAGTAATCACAATGAAATATTGTTCTAACATAATTTATGGTTTAGTTTAATTTTTTTTTTTTTTTTTCTAAGATAATTCTATGCAATCATTAAACCATGTAGCTTTCTTCTTCAATCTGTCTGGTAATTCTTAATGTGGTAATCCAATTTTAAATTGTTTATTTTTCTGTTTAGGATGAATCAAGTCAACGTTGGCAATACTATCAACAGCAAAAAACACCACCATACCAGCAACATCACTTTCATTACCCAAGCCGTCAACAAACTCCACCTTTTCCTGGAGATGATGACGCCATGCCTCGGCCACGGTTGCTCAGTATGAAAGTCAATCCCACCAATGCCAGTGATGACTTTGATGAACAGAGCTCCATGGAGTCTGTGATCCCCCACCGGCCTCGTGGCCAAACCATATCCATCCCATCACCTCACCATACATTCAACAAGTTGAAGAAAGCTCAAGAACAAGCAAGTGCTGAGAAACCAAAGGAAGAGGAAGTGAAAGGTGGGATAGACCCAAGCTTTGTCTTCCTGCAATTGTATGGAGGTCTACTGTCACTGACACCACCAGATATTCCTTTATTGCTGCCTCATAATCAAGTAAGGATCTTTTTAGAAATGTTTTTTCACTTGGATATTTATGTTTGTTGTACTTTTATTCAAAATCTTGCTTAATTCTTAACTGTCTGTAAATGTTCTCAAAGAGGAAAAGAAAACTGGGAACTTTTGAACACATGTAAAGTTCCAGTTACGAGGACTAAATGTGTTTAAGATATATGAATTGATTAAAAAATCATAAATGTTTTTCAATTTAAATTAGGTCAGCATGTTTGTAGAAAATTGGTATGAAATGTTGTTTATTGGAGGCTAATGACTCCAGAAAAATTTTTTTTCTTTATTTTGTCATCATTAATTTATATATCTGTTTATATTTTTGAGATGAGGTATTGTAACTTTATATTATTAGTACAATTGTCCTCATCTTTATTGCCATATTCACAAAGTTTTGTCCGTTGTATGCTCTGGCCTCCTTCAGGATCTATCTACATTTCTAAGATGAAGTATCATTCAGACTGTTGTACTCTTCTTTATTGGCATATTCACAACATTTCGGCCATTGTATGCTCTGGCCTCCTTCAGGATATGTACATATTTACTAGATGAAGTATTGTAACTATTTACACTATTTATATCATTCAAACTGTTTTCCTCATCTTTATTGCCATATTCGTGACATTTTTGGTTGAATTAACTGAAACAGAGGCATGGCATGAGGAATTAGAATAATCTACCCCTGTGGACTAAATAAAGGGTTTGGTTCAAAATTCCAGCAAATATCACTTGAAGAAGGCCAAAACGTTGTGAATATGGAAATAAAGAGCCAACAGTTCAAAGAATGTAAGTAATGTAAATATTAAATTATTTGCTTAAAAACTCAGCTCGGCTTTTCGAATCAAGGGAGATAACTGTTTACTTTTTAAAAAATTGCAATGCTATCCAATATTGTATGAATCAAATTTCTGTCCTTTCCTTTGTTGGGCTATGCAGTCATTTGAGAGATTTGTGTAAAATGACATTGGTGATTTTGTAATTAAAGCAGTTCAAAAGGTTGAAACATTTTGTTATTTGTTTATTTAATTTATTTGAGACACATAGGCATTGTTGTGCAATGGTAATCAAATGATTGCCGGTGTGAGTTTCATTGAAAGATTAAATGGACAGAATAGAAAAGTTAAAAGACCCTACCATAATATATGAAAGGATACAATGTTTTCTTTAGTATTAAATAAAGAATAGAAAACTATTATTTGTTAATGCAGGAAAAGTATCTCATTCATTTTAAACAAAACACTTGCTTTTTTTTTCTTTTGAATAAACTCAATAATGATAAACAAATATAAAGACAATGATTTTAGGATAGCTTCCTTGTGTCTTTTCTATAAATATTTTCATGGTAATTGTTCTGATGAGCTTTCCTCTTTGATACCCAGACTTTATGAATTTAATCACAGTAATAGATTGGTGACAAGTTCTCATCATTTTAAAGCTGAAATGGTTAGATGTGACCATAAGCTCTATGTTAACAATCACTTCTCTCACACTTCTTTCTTATGGAACTCTCTTTCAGCTTTTTGCTTTCCTGTCAACTTTGGTCTTAAAAAATTTAAATACAGTGTCAATTGTTATCTTCTTATTTCCTGTTCTTTTATTTTTCTCTCTCCTTAATGTTTTCTTTTTGTCATATTTTCTCATACTCAGTAACCCCCCCCCCTTTGCATCTTAATGGCTTTATTTCCTTGCCTGGAGTGAAATGATTACAAAAAAAATCTGTTAATTAACTAGAGTGACTTGTTATTTTTTTGAAGAAAACTTATTTCAGAAATTAAAAAATTAGATTTGTTAGATTTTAAAGATATATTAATAAAAAATGTCAAAAGTGTTTACTTGTTCTTTTCTCTCAAAACTGTGATCTAAATGTTAAGGTCATTACCATTTTAAGGGAAGAAAATTCCTTTATTTAAATAATTAAGCAATTTAATTATAAAAGCCAACAACAAAACAAATGCCTATTTATGAAAAAACAGATTGGAACTGAATAACAAAACATTAGTTATCATCATTAAGCAAGAACAGTTAAGTTGAGCAAGACATAAGATACATGCTGCTAAATGATAAAACAACATTTATTTGATGTCATAGTTTTACATAATATTTTCATACACACACACACAACTTTATATATATATATATATATATATATATTAATCTTTTGGGATTTTAGCCAACATGTACACAAATTTTGAGTTTTATATATTAGATTAACCAGTTATTTAAATAGGACTAGATTTTTTCAAATAACTTTTTTTTCTTTAATTTGAAATACGGTCATGTCTCTTCACTGGAATTTTATTTTGTTTTTTTTTCTTTGCAGGAAACACAACGATCACTGGAACTCTTAGACTATATTCCATCCTATGAAACTCATAAAATTGGTGTTTTATATGTTGGAGAGAACCAGGTATAATTTTGAAATGTTGTCTTGTATGTTTATGTACCTCAAAAATTGTGTTTAAATCTGCAAGCAATAATAAAGATGTAGGAGTGACAGTAGAATAAATTCTGAATCCATTAAATCAGGCATTATAAATTTTCAACAAAAAATGGCTTTGTGTCGTATTTAAAGCATTTGTATTTATTGTAAAAATAAGATCTAAATTAAACATTGAGATAAGGCAATTTACTCCACCTTTGTGAAGAAACTAACTTTCTACCAATAAAAAACAAAACAAAAATCAATTTGTTGGTAATCAATACTTGACTGACAAACAGATTCTGAGTATTGTTGTTAACATCATCCACTGCTTGCTTATCAATTATTATATCTTTCCAAACTGAATTTATTTCTAATATCAGTTTAAAGCTAACCTTTAAATTCAACTTTTTAACTTTTCTATATTGTATTTCAGTCGTATTATGCTTGGGTTTATGTGGGAGAAGCATTTTAATCATGAATATTCAGAAACTGAATATAGTAAAATATCTATATAGGTATGACTGAGTTCATCTGAAAAAAGCTAATTACAGTATATTTTTTAAAGAAACTTTTTTCATTATTCTTTAAAATTGTCTGTTTTTAATTTTATTAATCCTAAAAGATTTCATTTGTTAAATCCCTGGAGTCCTGACTGACTTGTCAAAAAATCTGAACCTGTGATGTTAGTGCAATTAAACTGACATATCTCAAAAACCATTGAAAATCAAGTCTTAAAAATGGCTTTTTTTTTTTTTTTTTTTTTTTAATGAATGTAAATTGATTTCTCTTTCAAATGATACTGAATTTAGCCTCCTTGGTATTTCTGGTTGAGATATGGTTTTGGAAATCAGCAACTTTGTAAAAGTTGTAGATTTCTGTTACCTCTAGCTAATGATGTGACAAGTGTTAATACTGCATACTGAAGCACAGTGTTAACCATTTATGGGCATATTCAGGCACTTCCAGACCATAAGTGTGTGAAAATTGCAAATGTATTTGGTCACTTACAACATGAAAGGGTTAACAGGTATATGGATGTTATTGGAATCATTTCTCTCTATGTAAATCTGTATGTACTTGTATTGAGTCAGTTTTCATTTTGTACATTCTCTACATTGGTAATTTTGATTTACTTTGTAAAGATTGAATAACAAGAAAAAATAAACAATACATTTTTTTTTTAAATGATATTAGGCTGGCTGAAAAGTTTGGTTTACTAAGTAAAAAAACTGATTTTTAAAACTTTTTGATATTAACTTAAATGACCACCAAATGGACAATTTTCTCCCACTAATCTACTTTGTAATGCCATCTTAGAAAATTTTGTCTTTGTGAATAAAGAACTGCTTTAAAATCCTTCAAGCAATCATAATTTTTTTTCTTTAAAAGAAACAGGAATATTAATCCAGAGTTGCAGCAACTAGTGAAAATATTCCAGCCAATCTGTTCAAATTTTTAACTTGTAACCGCAGAGAAACCTACAATCAAACATATTATCCTGATGGAATATTACCCTCTATTTTTATTGTGGATGACTTTCATTTATTTCTGCTTCTAATTAGATTGGTAACAGAGCTTATGGTTATATCACATTAAAACACAGGTTCCTGTACAATCACCTCAGTTAAGCAACATTGAGCTAGTATCTAGATGGGTGACCACTTGGGAATATCAGGTACTCTATGCTTGGGTGTGCAGGTGGTGTAATGGATAATGGCCTGGAATTGTTAATTGGAGAGCTAAGTTCCAATTACTGTTGTGTTTGTTATATTTACTTACATACAAATACCCTTGGGAAAGGTATGAATCCATGTCTTCTTTTCCAGTTGTGGGTTAATTAGTAAGAAATATTTTGTGGCTTTAAATAACCTGAAAAGGGTTAAGGTGTAGAAAACAAAGCAATCAATCAAAATTGGTAACAATAATTGTTCAAATCAATTGTTTCTTTCTTCAGAAAAAATTCCTAGTAGGTGATTCCCCTCTAAATCTCATCTTATACACATCATCAACTTCTTTGGATCAAAATTGACCTTTGGAATGATTAGTGTCTGTTCATTTTGTTTACCCCATGATCTATAATGTTCTATGATGTCATAAAGTGTCTACTCTTTGTATCCTTTATTAAGAAATTTTTTGCACAAAACTTTTCAGTTTTTGAAATCTTCAGTCATAAACTCTGTATGAATTTCTCTCTCCCTCACATATTTTACCTTCAATTAAAAATGTATAATATGTCAGAAATATAGACTATTTTCTTCTATTTTCAATGTTAGACTCAAATAAACAAAACTGTTTAATAAAACTTTCTAAGAATGCCTGCTGAAATGAGGGCTGTCACAATTAAAAACTTTATTTTTCTTATACAATGAACTTAATGAAATGCAAATATTCCTGATGCTATCAGATTGCAAAGTAGAACAAACTTTTGGGCCAATATATTTCTTAAATTTTTCTTTTGTGTTTGTGTTAACAAAGTGACATTTTACAGTCTTATTGCAATTTCATTATATTTCTATTGGTTGATGCAAAAGTTGTTTGCTTATTAAGTATAAAATTTACTTAATAAACTGAATTAACTTTTCAGTCAATCCAGTCTTACTCTTTTCATAAAAATAACCAATCTATATCTTTTACCATTTGAAGAATTTAAAAAAAATATTATTTTAATGCCATTTTGTCTTTGTTAGTGTAATAGTGAAGTGGAAATCTTGTCCAATCAACATGGGTCTGAACGATATCAGAAGTTCCTGGAAAATTTAGGTCAGCTAATTTATCTCAAGGACACAGATGGAAAATGTGTGTTTCTAGGTGGGCTTGATGGACGAGAGAAGTGTGATGGTCAGTTTGCCTATAGCTGGCATGATGAATTTATGCAAGGTAAGGAATTATTTTCATATTTTGATTTCTCTTTCTTTTCTCTCAAAACAACAAAAATTAAATTTAAGAATTTAACAACATATTTCTGTGTCTGTCTATATTTCTGAGATGAGGTATTAGGGTTAACAATGTAAATAATGTATATTTCTCTGTACTGACCTTCAATCTTAATGAGTACTGAATAATGTCTATTTTTGTTCCAACCATACTTTAAAATTTCTACCTTTCTGAAAACATTTCTTTAAGGTGTAGCTTCAAGGATTACTGGCTTGTTATAATTGTCTTCAAATGAAGGCAATCGTAGCAACCCCATATTTAACTGTGACATCTTAACTGTTTCATTCTAAATATTAAATATGAGATGATTAAGTTATTTATATTAGTGATTGATTTAATTATTGTAAAAAGTATTATAAAAAGAAAATATGTGCCAAGTACAACCCTGAAAAAGGCTGAAGGATATGACGAAGTCTAAAAACATAGACTAAAGAAGAGAAATAACTTCTAAATTTTAAACTCCATGACCTTTTAATAGGGAATAGTCATCAACATATATGTACTTAAGAACAGTTTTCCAAGGCGACATTGTTTGCCAGCTAGTCTTAATAACCATTACTACTGTAGTGAGTTACATTCTCACTGAGTGATTTTTCCCTTGTGGCCTTGTCAGACGGAGCTATGTTTATTAAATGTCTATATTCTATTCATATGTTATATAAATATCTATATTCTAACACTTGCCCTTTAAGGACTTGGAAAAAAGAAAAAATACCTGTCGATGGTAAAAAATGTCTTTCTCATGATTTCCATGTTTTGGAGTAAAGTGGATTTTAGAGTGAAAAAAAAACTTATCAAATTACTTTTATTTCTTACATCTGATTTTTTTTTTTTTTCATTTCTTCTTTATTGCAGTAATCTTTCATGTAGCAACATTGATGCCAAACATGAAAAATGATAAACTTCGAAATAATAAGAAACGACATATTGGGAATGATTATGTAAATATTGTGTACAACGACAGTGGTGAGGAGTACCAAATTACCACTCTGAGAGTAAGTGGCACTTCTGTAAAGGAGTTTTGTTGATTTTTTTTTTTTTTTTCCTTTTTTTTTTTAATATTTGTAATGATTTTCTTAGGAGCAAAGTAAAATTTCTCTGAAACTCTAATTTTTGCATGCACTTTAAATTTTTTTTAATTTTATAATTTCTGACATTTTCATTTTTAAAATGTTTCCAATATTTTTGTAATGATAAGAACAATGAATTTATTTTTTTAGTCTTAAATTTTTTATAATTTCCTGTCATCATTGACTAAAGATGAAAGAAATACTGAAAACCTGCTTGTAATTCAAATAAATTTGATGAGTAAATAACTAATGATAATTTCTATGCTTCACTTCATCCTGCACAAATCACAACTTTATTTTGTTATATTAGTCTAAGAACTGCAATAAAATCAACAAATGATATGACAGAAATACTAGTCCTAAATTAATACTTGATAATGCTTTCTTGTAATAAATTCTAAATAATTGTTTATATATATTTAGTTGTATGTATCTGTACGTAACATTTCTTTTCTATAATAATCAAAATAATCTCTTGTGATATGTTTTAATGGTAGTGCCTACCATTAAAACATATCACAAGAGAATATTTTGATTATTATAGAAAAAAATGTTACATATTTTCTGGTTAATTTATTTCTAGATAAAATAAACATGTCTCCCTATCAGATTTAGGCTCATGTATTCCTTTTCAAAAATGAAAAATATTTCTCCCTTTGTTTTCAATTTAGAGTGAGCTTAATTTTGTTAATATTATTATTGAACCTCTTGACTGTGAAACGAATGCAGTGACAATTGTGACTAAGGAAAGTAAGAAAGGTAGGTAATTTGTATCTTTCACTGACTTTATTTAATGATATTAATAATAACCAACTGTTTTGGTATGATAAAATATACAACAGCTTATTTAAATTCACTAGTTATGTACTTTTTATGACAGTTGTAGATCTATTTCTTCATTTGTCTTTTCAAAAAATGTCAAATTTGGACAGTCTAATTCTCCCTGAAAATGTCAAAGATTCTTTCCATAACTCTTTAATATTTTGGAAAGAATAAATTAAAAAAATCTGCTAACTTGTAAATTCACAAAAATATATCGATCCAAAAATACAAAAAAATCTTTTTCTACTGATTTCTTTCATTCTAGGTGAAAATTATATGCTTTCTATATTTACCAACTGCAAAAATCTCAATTTAACTTTATTCTTAATATCTACTTTTTTCTATTTCTTCAATGTTTCTTAAATTTAATATTTATTGTTAATATTATTTTTATCAAAGGGGATTTGAGAGTATGATCAAAAGGAATTTCTAATTCTTGTACTTATCTCTGCAATTCCCATTTTGTAGGTTTTGTTATGTAAAACATTTCAAAGTAAAAATTTTCCAAATTGTCTTTGATATTTACTATTCTATAAAATTCTCATCCAATTTTACTCACATATCTTTATATACAAAACCAGTCACTCTTGTTTTATCTTATGCACAAAATGTTTTTGTTTATATTCATCTTTCATATTTTGCATACATGACCTAAAAATATATCCACATAAAATGATAGTCATATGTTGCTCATTTCAACAAATTAGCTTCCAAAAACATTGCAAATATAACAATACTTTTTGAAGGAGTTTGAGCATTTTCTTCCACAACAAAAACTCTTACTCAAAACCATTTCTTTTACTGAATGAAGTGAAAAACAATGAGCATTTCTATTTGTTTTTAATTTTATTTAATAATATTTTGCTTATTAAAATATTCTTTCTAATTTCTTTTTCAGCTGATGCCAAAGAGGTCATCACAGCAGGTAAGGTTTCTTTAAACTAACATTTTCTGCATTTGGCCATTTTTTTCATTGTATGGTCACTGTAATGATATCAAATTGATATACTGGCTTCTTGGTCCAACTTTAAGGATATAGAGTTAATGATCATGTTCTACCAAAGCAACCGATTCTCTAATGATAAACTCTTGACATAAGGGAGACTATATAGCCTTGTGGATTAAAACTTTGATTTATGAATTGGTAACATAGTAATGCCTGGGCTGGGTAGTGTGTATTTGGAGTTGGTGAAAACAGGCGACCTAACTGAACAGTATTAAAAATAAGAACTAGACGATATCCCTAGACATAGACAAGAATGAGAACAGTCTACCCACATAAATTAAATAAAAAGTTCAGTTCGTAATTACATTACCCAGATATGCCAGATTGATATACACCTGATGAAGACTGAAGAGCACAATGGCTGAAATGTTGTTAAAAACAAGAAAGAGAGATAAAAACAATAGTCCGAATATAGTGTAAATATCAGGTACATGTTGCACTTTGTGGTCTTTGAAAATGGTTTAGGGAAAGACTGTTGTATGAAGAAGGCCAAAATAAAAAACATATTTGAAATGATAAAAACAACAAAAAGTAAGATGCTCATTTGAAAAATTGTGAGCATGTATAGAGAAAAAAATCTCTGATCTGCAGAAAAACAGTTAAAAAACTGAAATATTTATGTCAAGGCCAGTATTTAATTAAGCAAAAAAAAAAAAAATGAAAATTGAACAGAAGAATAATATTTTTTGGAGGAATTCTTGAAAATTAAGGATAAAATATATTTTGCGAGATTATAAAATTCATAAATTAAGAAGCTATTATATACGATGTAAATACAAAACCTATTAAAATTTATATGGATGCGCTGTAATAACATTAAGTATTAACTAATAACATTAAGTATTAACATTAAATATCTGAAATCGCTATTCACTCATAAATAAAATTTCTCTAAAGAAAATGGCATCTTTATTTATAAAGAGACAGTGTGCAAGGGGGATAACTCTCATATACAATCATTTTTCTGACTTTAAGAAATGTCACAAGAAATGTGTTTTAAATTACTTCCTTCCAAAAATAAACTTAGTGAAAAAGAAGAAACACAATTCACTTTTCAAAGCAGGTTAGCAGATGCTAAAGATATTAATTTTTCTTCTGCAACGATTGTTTTAAGCTCCTTAACACTAAGAATCTTGGATAAAAAAACACCTTTCTATAAGTGAATTAGCAACTTTCTAACTTATAAGTACTCATTCAATATCAAACAATTCTTTATTGACACTTCATGTAGTACACTTGTTTCAATTCTAAATCTTTTATAAAAAATTTAAAGGAGCTGATCCATAAGCAATTACATTAGAGATGGGTGGTTTAACCAAAAAACCAACTTTTTTCGATTTCATCTTCACACCATGAAACCCCATCGAAAGAAAAATTTCAGATATTAATGAAATTAAATCTTATCAACATTTATACCATTGTAAGAGAAAAGATTGAACAAAAATATGTTAAAAACATTTAATCGACTAGTTTTAGGAAATAAATGTGAAATCTATTTGTTTACAAAAGAAATGAAGAAGAAGAAGAAAAAAGAAAATACGATAGATATGGCATTTGGAAATCACAAAATGTTTTCAAACAGAAAAAAAGTAAATATAGGGTGACTCAACGGGAACTTTTTAACAATCCAATTAAAGAGTGATGGAATAAAAATATTTTATTCATAGTAATTGAAACCTTAAAACATGCCATTTAAGAAACAATGATGGAATTTCCATTTTTTAAAAATTACATCCTGTAGATGGCGTCCTCCTGTACGAATGCATTCTTGAAATCTGCTGCAACATCTCAGCTGGGATACTGTGAATTTCATCTTGAATTCTAAATGGCGAAATGTTTACTTGCTTAAGGTCACTGTCTTGCAGTGTTGCCACTTGCTCATGTCTGGCAATACGCACTTCAAAAATTCCCGTTTTTTGGGGTCACCCTGTACAACATGTCTGAAATCTATTTGTTTCAGTTTCCAAAAAAAACTGTGGTAAAATTAAGTTAACAACAAAATAGCTAGTAAAAATAAAAAGAGATTGACCCTGATAGATTAAACACAGGAAGGAATGAAATTATTGAATGAAAAGTTGGACTTTCTGTTCAATATAGATACTAATCAGGTGGCTCTGATGGCATATGGAAATCTTGAAAAATATATTAGACCACAAAATATCACCATCACTGATTTCATTATAGAATTTGACCATATGGTTCAGCAACTCAATGAACATGATATTAAGTTGCCCGATATTTACAGAGTCCTGAAAAGTGCCAATCTGAAGGGAGATAATGAAAAACTAATAATGGCTTCTATCAGAGACATAACACTCAATGAAATGACAGTTTAAATAAATAAAAAAAAAAAAAGGTGGTAGATGTTAGACTAGAGACTTCCTCTCCAACAATCTGTCAAATAAAATCTGAACCAAAAGATGTGCACTTAGCTCAATATTTGGATAAAATAGTGATACACAGACAAAGGACATAATGTATAGCTTTGTGTACAGAAATCAACAGAAGTATTATCGTGGTAGAGAATGGAGAGGCAATAGATTCAGTAAAAGAAGCCAAAGCCTTGCCAATTATCAAAAGAATAAAACCAAGAAACAAAATCCTCTTGGGCCTGATGGTAAATCCTCTAGATGTGCTATTTGTGAATCTACCATGCATAAAAATTGTCAACATGCTTTTGACAAAGGAAATAAGGAAGATGTATTTGAGGCCAATATTGTACTCATGAATCACAATAACTCTGGGGAAGACAAACTATTGGTGCAGATATTGATTTTAACAGATATGATAGCCAAAACAATGTGCAGATTGTCTTTGGAGCCAGTAGAAACCGGAATAGATTTGGCTTCTTTATCATGAAACCCCTCAGCAATGGTCATTTTTTTTTCCTCCCAGGTATCCTATTTCTCAGGAACTTAGGTTTGTGGGGCTAATATTTTAGAAGCCATTATATTTTCTTAATTCTATAGCTGGAAAATAAATATCACTTAGCTTTCCATTTAATGACAGAATAATGATAATAATGATAATAATGTGATGTGCTCCCAAAGAAAGAACTTAGAGTAAGAAATTTCAAAACAGCCACTTCTTCACATATCTTCTTCAACTTATTCAATTTCTTCATATACGCTCTACTGTTGTTAAACTTTGCATAGAGACAGTAATGACATTAAAACTGATTACAACATGTATTTCACATTTTATATATTTGTAATTAACATTGTTCTTAACAAAATGGCATCTTTTATTTATAAAGAACCAGTGATAATTCATAAATACAAAAATAGTAATTAACACTTTTTATTTCATATTAGTATACTTATACTAATTAATTTCAATAAAACTTGCTTATGGTCACATGACATTGAAACACCAGTACCTTTATGATCACCAAATTTAAGCAATGTTGAGCCTAGTCAGTACCTAGATGGGTGACCGCTTGGGAATACTAGGTGTTGTAAGCTTGATGTGCAGGTGGTGTAATGGACTTATGGCTCGGAATTGTTAATTGGAGAGCTGAATTCTCATTGGGTTCATTGTATTCACTTACACACAAATACACTTGGGAAAGGTAGGAATCCACAGCTATGGTTTAATTAGTAAGACTTGTATCACTAAATCATAATTCTCCAAAAACAAAATTCTTACAATCTAAAAATATTTTGTGGCTTTAAATATCCTGTAAAGTGTTGAGAACCTATAAAAAATGAATCAATCCATCATTCAAAATAACTAGTTTATTATTAGATTTCTTTGTGCTTTCTAAGAAAACTTTCAGAGTAAAAAAAAAGAAAAAAAAATTAATAGAATCCTGAATGTTTTACTGCATACAGCAGTTTATATAACAAATGGTGAAATGTTTTCAAAACGTTTTTTTTTGTCTTTTGCAGATATTGCAGAAGCCTTAGGTCAAGAGGCAAAGATTATCTCTGATAAAAAAGTTGCTTCTCTTGTACGACTGATGGCCATCCACTGTAATGTAAGAATGATGAAGAAACTTTCTATATTTACAATTCTGTGATCAGTTATTCTTTTTTGTACATCATTATGTGATTTCAATCATTTTGAATCATTTCAACTTAGAAAATTGTAGTTATTTTTATTAGTATACACACACACTTATTAAAATGAGTTTGGATATAAGTCATTGAACTATTTAACTAATTATTTATTTATTGTTTATTAATTTTCTATTTCCTAATATTGAACATTTTATTTACAAAATTTTTTGTGTGTAAAGAATTTTTGTTTTATTGTGTGTGTGTGTGTGTTTTTCTTTATCGCCAGGTCTCAAATGTTTATTTGTCGGTTGCAGGCTCCATTATGTCTATCAGAACATTAGACATTCTTCTATTTAGCATCACACAGGCAAATTAAGATTCTTATCAGCTTTGGGTCAAGGTTGAACTGCAGTGTAGATACCATTGTCTGCAGTCAACATCCAAAAGCAAGTTCGGCTGAACACCCTCCAGTTGGTGAGGTTGTTGTGTCTCTGTATGCAAGTCAGGCCAAAATCACTGTATCCCTCTTCTGTAGGGATGCACTAAGCAGAGCCTGTAACACTCATTCCACTTCTCCATTTGCTTGATGAAAATGTGCTACTTGTCACATGTACTTGATTACAGCCTTTGTTGAAGATTTTTAGGTTGGTTTCAATCTGGATAGAAATGATCAATAAAAATGTTTCCTCCCTGAATTTATAGACAAATTGTACAGATGTGTAGAGGAAAAAAATGTACAAAAAGTAAAGAAACAATATTGAAACACAGCTTTACAAATTTAAATAAATTTTATTATTGAGTACTTTGTTTTCTTTCAAGTAGAAAGATCCTCGGGAAACAAAAATATTTTGTTTTTGTTCTTTCCAACACAACAGAAAAATTGCATTAATGTGTTTGAAGAAACAGAATGTGTTGATTTAACAAGAGTCATGTATTTACGTTTTTTTATGAATGTGTGTAATTTTTCCAGTAGTCAGCAGTCTGAGAGCATGTTATTACTACTGCTAATATTTTTGTATGTTTTTACGTGTTGTTTACTTTAAAATCACAAGATGTTACTCAGTAAATTCTGTGAAAGGTTGAGTAATTAATTATACAAAAGGTGTGAGTAAACACTTTGTACACAACCTTGGTCAAAAGTTTACCGAAAACTGAATACTAATTTTTGTAAAATTATACAATCATATTTATAACAGCACATAGGAAGCCAAAAGTTAGATTTACTAAGCTCAGAGATTTATTGGTTAATAAATATTTTTCCCAATTTATAAATATCTATTTTGGTGGTGGGGGGGAATATTGTTAATCATTTTCTGGAGTGATCTCTCAAATTTCATAGCAGACAACAAACATAGTTGCCTGAAATTTCAAAGCCTTAAGAGTGTTTGACATAATGTTGCTGAGTGGTTAATAAATGTAAATGAGTAAATTCAAACTGTAGCCTATTTTTGCACAAAAATGAGTCAATTTCTGTGTGAGATGATCTCGGTAAAGAAGTGAGATTTTTAGTGATTTTACTTGAATCTATTGGATTTTTTTTTACAATTTTTAACAGGGTTCCTCAGATACATGCTGAAACTTCTTCCTAACAAATAAAATTAAATTTTTGGTTTTTTCATACAAACTTTTGGGTGAAAAGCTTTTCTTCAGGAAACTTCAAATAAAAGTTTGTTTATTTTTTTTAAGTTAATAAAGATGAAAATCTGTTTCAAAAGTCATAAAAACTTGAGAAATACATGAATTTCATAGAAACAAAGTTTCATAAAAAGAATGTTTACTTTTTTATGTCTCTGTTATTATCTTTTTTATAAATTAAAAAAAATTATAAAAAAATTGTCTTAAAAGAGCCTGGCAGAAGAACAACATGAATTCATTTTGTATTTATATTACATAATTTTGAATATAATTATTAAATTAATTATTTATAATATTAAATGAGTGAGTTAACAATGTTTAAAAAGAAATTGAAAATAAAAATTTCATTTTGAACTGAAACAGACTTTAAACTAGTGAATTTTATGGAAAGTTCAAGAACTGAGTAGAAACTTGACAATTTTATATATTTATTTACTTATTTTTTAAAACAAAATAAAATAAATTTACATCATACTTAACTTAGGTGTTATTATGATCTATAGATTTTAGTTTTACTGATAGTTTAAAATAAATAAATATTTATATCTTTTTATCATAAGTACCAGGGATGGAAAATTAAGTTTTAAGCAAAAAAAAAAAAAAATATCCAAGCATTCATTTTGGAAATCAGAAATTGATACCCCAAATAGTTTTGATGTCTCTAATTCTCGATTCTGATTAATTGTCCCATCACTAATATATATATATATTTGACATATGCAGGGCAAGCAGCTCAGTTTCTAGGAACCAACAGCCAGACACCAACACATGATTTGATTATAGTGGTGAAAACTTTTTGCAGAGCCAACCATACTAATAATAATAAAACAAACTAATATATATATATATATATATATATATATATATATATAGTTTAGTATTATTTTTCCGTTTTTAAAAAAAATTTTTTTAATTGTTTATTGCTAAATTTGTTGGTCATTTGTTTTCCCAATTAAACGTAAACATGGTCAATTTCTCTATACTTTATATGTACAGGCGGCCATTGTCAGTTACTAGTGTCACTGGAACACCCTGTTGGGCAAATATATTTTTCAGACTCCTAATAACACTGTGTTAATGTTTGGTAGTTGTACTATTTCTAAATATCTAGAGAAATGCTCCACCAGTATAAGGTATGTCTTACATTTTACTGCACACAAGTGCCAACTATTTGAAATGGGTATTCATGTTAAAAATAGTTGAGCTAAGAGGTTCTTTCCTCTGTTTTGGTCTGTTTTCTTCATGACTGGAAGCATATCAGCCAATTGGCTTGGAAATGTTTTTTTTTTTTTTTGTTTTGTTTTGTTTTTTTTCCATTCCACTCTATGTGATCCAACTTTTACCTTTTCTGCTAGTGGTATTGGTATTCTCTGCACTGTAACAAGACTGTATGATTCTATGTCCTTTCTCAATTTAATTTTCATCTGTCCCCTCAATTGAACTGGTTTATCATTAAATTCACCGAAACTGTGGTCTTAATATTATTGATCTTTTATTCTTTGCATTCATTGTAGATCACAATAAATATAATGAATTTTTTTTTCCTCCTTAAAGCCAAAAATATCTTTGTAAATGTCTCAGCACCTGCACAATATTCATAACATTTCAGTCGTTGTATGCTCTGGCATACAATGGCTGAAATGTGACTATAGCAATAAAGATACAGACAACAGTCAAACAATATAAATAATGTAAATAATTACAATACCTCATCTCAGAAATATAGATAGTTACTAAATATTCACATTTAACTTTTCACATTTCAGTATTCCCTCTGTTGGTAAATACTTAGCAGTTACTGATATTTATTTTCACATTGTTTATCCACAAAAGAAAAAAGAAATACCTTTGGTCACACAAATAAAAACAAACTTTTTTTAATGTAGTTCTCCATAAACACTGATTCTTGTAACAGCTGATAATTATTAGCTGATAAACCAACCAAAAATTGATCCTGACCTAGCATCTTTGACTTCAGTCACTTTCTCACCAATGTGATATGGCTTCCCTCTGTCTTTTCTACAAATATTTTCATGGCAGTTGTTCTGATGAGCTTTCCTCCTTAGTGCCTCGGCTGCATGAATTTAAGCATGCTACTAGATTTGACAACTAGGTTTTACTGTTGTCCTATTGAGATGCAACCACCACCACCACCTTCTATTCTATTCAGTTTCTTTTCTTTGCCTGAGGAATTCCCTTCTGATTTCTTGCTTCCCTGTCACATATAATCTTTAAATTTTAAATGCAATGTCAATTTTCATCTTCTGTCTTTCTAAACCTGTTCCTTTATTGTTCTTTTTCTCATTTCTCTCCACTAAAGTTTTCTCATTCTCTTTTACTCCCTATGACTCCCCTCATATTAGGAGCATTATCACCTTGCTTGGGGTGAAATAATTAAAAAAAAATATTGCTTAGAAGATAATGTAAATACCATTTAATAATAATAATGTAAGTATAAGATGTCATCAGTTCCTGACTAGGTATCCATGCTGATGACACAACTATTTATTCTAGTCTTAATAGTAAGTCTGATTGGTTTGAAAAGGTTAAATTGGCAGCTGATCTTAAAAATGACCTACAATCTCTTGTTAACTGGGGCAAAGAATGGCTTGTTAATTTTAAAGCATTCAAAATGAAACTGCTCTCTTTTAATCTGAGAGAATCTATTTTGTCTTCCATCAACATGACTGATGCTAACCTCTAGGAGATTGACTCCTTGCAAATTCTCAGGCTAATATTTTCCACCAACATGAAGTGGAAAGGTTATATTAAATCAGTTGTTAGGTTTGCTGCTAGGAAAGTTGGTTCACTGTGTTGTGCTAAACAGTTTTTCTTGCCAAAATCTATCTTACATATTTTATAATTCTACCATTCATCCATGTATTTAATATTGCTGCCACATCTGGTCTGGTGTTTCTGCTATATATTTAGAAATTCTTGATAAAATATGAAGATAAATCTGCAACATTATTGGTCCTGACTTAGCATCTCAACTTCAGTCACTTTCATAATGTAACTTTCCTGTGCCTTGCTTTCCAGTCAACATCAAAAATTTAAATACAATGTCAGTTGTTATTTTCTGCCATAATTCCTGTTCTTTTATTGTCATTTCTCTTTAGTAATGTTTTCTTTTTTTATTCTTTCATACCCAGTAAACCCATTGTGCCTTAGTGACTTTATTACCTTTCTTAGGGGTGAAACAACAAAAAAAACATTGAAATATTAGCAACATCTACAGATATTGTTTGTTAGCTTTTAACACATTGTAGGTGAGGTTGACTGAGCATAAAAGTTCCTTCTGCAGGAGACAGAATGATGTTTGAATGACTTTCTTATGTTGTCACATCCAAAGGAAACTATCTTGACTGAAATCAAGAACACAGTACGTGCAATTGAGTGTTCTTGAAAAAAAATGCAATGGAAAGGAAAGTAATATTTGTGAATAATGCAGAGCAATAAAGATTTAATCAGATATTATTTTTTAGTAGAAGACCTATAAATGTAGTAAAATTATCTTTCTCGGAATTAGAATAATCTAGAATATTTATGGAGAACAAATTGCCTTTTTAATGATAGAAAATTAAGCAGATACACAAAAATGGAAAAGGATGTAAGACAAGGATGCATCTTCTTACCATTCACCCTTTGAAGCAAGACAATTTTAAGGGTTTATTATCTGTTGTGGATTAAATAAGACACCCCAAGTAACATAAATGAACTAGGCAAGACACCTTAAATAAAGAACTCAAAGTGAGTCAGTAGAAGCCCGTTGGAGTCGGTCAGGATTATTTCTAAGAGATGTCATGGTGAGTAGCCTAAGCAAAGTCATAATATTATAAACACTAGGAATGAGTTATAACAGTGGCAATGAGGAATCAAAACTCATATGGAGGAGGAAAAAGTACTTTTTGGTGTGTGTGTAAAAAAAAAAAAAAAAAAAAAAAAAATAGAGAAAAATGAAAAAAATACTGATATTCTTCAAATATGGAAGAATTGTTAGCCCAAGTCATAAAAAATACACCAGCAAGAACAACAGCAGTTGTTGGAACTCCAGAAACAACAAAATTTAATTGAAATAATATGGAAGAAAACAGAAAATTTCCCAAGTTCTTCCACTTCTGACACAGTGGTATATACCATATCTGAATTCACATACAATATAGATGGTGGAATTATCTTTTCTGCTTATTTTAGAAGATACAAGTAAATTTTCAGAAAAGAATGCAACAATGAGGAGGAGGAGGAGAAAAAAAACAAGACTTTTGTTGAGAAAGTTAGCATTGGTGGAACATGAAAATTATTGTAATGCTACAAGTGCAGAAAATCAGAGCATAAAGTCACACTGTAAAACTAAAGCAAGAAAAAGTTCTCATAGAAAAAATTTTGTTCACCGTGTTGCAATGGAAAAAATAATTACAGAAAACCAAAGAAAATTTGTGTATGTGAAAATTAATAATGAGGATGTAAAAATACAACTAGACACTGGTAGGGATATCACAATAATCAACAAATCCACATGGAAAGCAAATGGAAAACCTATATTAAAAAGAACTTAGAAAATCATATGTTAGTTAAGGAATTATTTTTTATTGGTGAAATGACTTATAATGTCTCATTTCGTAACAAGTGTGTAAAAGCTAAGGCTTATGTGTAAAAATAATACTACAAATTTATTTGCTACTGACCCGATGGAATTATTTGAGATGTGGGATTTACACCTATAAATATTTATTACAGAAATGTAAGAGGACAAGCTGCAGGTTTAAAAAAAACTGTGAAAACTTAAAGGAAGAATTGGAAAAATGTTTCTGGATGTTCTATCGAATGAGTTGGATCGATGTTCCAAAGTCAAAGCAAAATTTTAAGTGAAAAAAGGGTTGACACCAGTGTTTAAACCAAAATGTGGTGCACCGTTTAAAGCATTGGATCAAGTCAATGAAGAATTAGACAGACCTGAAAAAATAGGTGTAATTGAAAAGTTCGATCCTTCAAAATGGGCAGCACCAGCAGTGCTTATAAAAAAAAAGTTTGATCCTTCAAAATGAGCAGCACCAGCAGTGTATATAAAGAAAAAAAAATTGTGATTTTTTGACAGTTAAACAAATGTTTAGAATCCCATAAATACCCATTACCAAGTCTAGAGGAAATTTTCATATTTAAATGGCAAAATTTCTTTTTTCAAAGCTGTATCTTTCTGAAACATATTTATACGTCGTGGGCAACTGCAATTAAGAATATGTCTCCACTAGCAAATGTTACTAGGTTACAAGCATTTCTAGGACTAGCAAATGATTATCAAACTTATATTTCTAATATACAGAATTTGAGAGTTCCACTGAAGAATTTGCTTAAATAAGGCATAAAGTGGAACTGGACTGATAAGTGTTAGAAGGCACTTGAAGAACTCGAGAAAATACTCATATCAGACTTATCATTAGTGCACTACAATCCAAAAGCAGAAATCATATTGCCTTCAGATGCTAGTGACTATGGCATAGGAGCAGTAATTTTACATCAATATGATGACGGTTACATGAAAGCTGTCACACATGCTTTGTGTTTGCTATTACTGGCAGAAAAAAATTACACTCAGATCGAAAAAGAGGCATTAGCAATAATATTTGCAGTGAAAAATTTCACAAATTTTTACACAGAAGGAGTTTTTGTTTACAGACAGACCACAACCCTCTATTATCAGTTTATGGCTCGAAAAAAGGAATCCCTACACATACAGTGTATAAATTACAATGCTAGGGTACCATCTTATTAAATTATGATTTCAGGATGGAATACCAACTGTCCAAAAAATTAGAACATGCTGATGGTTTATCAAGTTTGATACCAAAAAATACTGAACCGTTTGAGAACACTGTTATTGCAGCATTAAAAAGTGAAATAGAAATTAAAAATATATTATGCAATATAGTACATGAACTACTAGTTTCCCTGGAAGAAATAAAAGTAAAATTAGAACAAGACATATAAAAAAATAAAAAAAATGACTAAAAGAAAGATAGATAGACGATTTTTAGAATGTAATCCAGACTTGAATGCTTATTCACTATGTGATGGAATACTGATGTTTGCACAAAGAGTAGTAATACGTAGCATAAATGGATCAGATTATCTTGTGGTAGTTTATAGCTTTACTAAGCGCTCTGAAATTTGTAAGTGCAAAAAAACAACTTCTACAGTTACAATGAATTTTTTACACAGACTTTTTGCCAGATATGGCATTCCCGATGTCATAGACAATTTATGGCTTACAAATTTAAGTAATTTTCTAAAATGTTCTCAATTGGACATATTACTACCTCATTGTATCACCTAATGTCAAGCAAACAAGCTGAACAGTTTGTGGGTGCTTTTAAGAGAGCTTTGAAAAAGCAAGTAATGAAAAAGTGAGCAAAGAAGCACTACAAAAATTCTTGAGAGTAACTCAATAACGCTGAATCCCAATATACTGGCAGAATTGATGTTTGCAAGAAAAATTAAAACGGTGTTCAACACGTTGTTACCAGGTCAAAAAAAAAATTAAGAACGGATAATAAAAAAGACACAAAATTTTTCAAAATTGTTGAAGTGGTTTTCAGAGTATATAAAAATGGAAAAGAAATGTGTGATGGCAGTGTAATAAGGTCACGAATTGGAAAAAAGATATATTTGGTAAAAAGGAAAAAAATAGAAACACAAAAGGCATTGGAATCAGTTAAAGAAAAGGTTTACTAAAGAAAGGCCCACAAATAAAGAACTTACATAAATACTCTTAGTATGATACTCTTGATGTACCAACACCACAAGAATTCATTGAATGTACAAGCCACAGTGAAAACACTGGTTCTTGTTCAATCACCAAAGTTAAGTAGTGTTGAGCCTGGCCAGTATTTAGATTGGGGACCACTTGGAAGCACTGGGTACTGTAAGCAGTCTACAATCTGAAATATGTTTCAACTTAAATAACACAAAGAGGACTGATAATTAGTACAAATAAACAATCTGTCTAGATTTTATATTCTTTGATATACAAAATAATGTGTTAAAGCATTTCTCTAGAACCTTGTGAAACATGTGGTATCTCCAGTGGGGATTGAACTCCTGACACTGAGCTATTAGATTGGCTTGTTAATTGTTACTTCATGATTAGTATATTTCGTTATATTGTGCATCTAGAAGCAAGCACAAGTACAAAAGAAAATATTTAAAAGCATATATACATAGCTGAGATTGCCTCAATGCCTTCAATGTTTCACTTTGTTGTTTTTCCTTTTTAGTGTTACCTGCAGATTCCTCACTAATTGACATCATCTAATTAAGACAGTGACTAAATGGAATGCTTTTCTACTTGCAGTTTACTAGTTGAAAAAATGTAAATCTGAAACCTTATTTGTTTTGTCTGTCTTTTCAGTTGGCAGCAATGGTCTTATGGCGCCAGCAGAATATTCCTGAAGATCCTTTTGCATCTAACTGGCTGGAACGACTGCGGCATATGAAACGTCTCCACAATAGAGTAATGGAAGAACTGAAGACAATGGCTGACGAAAAGGCCGGTTATGACCGAACTGAAGGAAAAGTGTTCCATGAAGATTTCACAGATTATTCCTAGAGATGTTTTCCTTGTTGTTGTTGTTGTTGTTGTTGTCTCTTCTTTTCTTCCTTGTCTGATCTTCAGCACTTTTTTTCTCTGACCTCAACACATTTCAGTTGAGGCATCCTTGTGGCCAAAATAACATCAAACAACAACAAATTTGCAATGAACAATGGAAAGGTTTTCATTCCTTATTGCTTATTCTTCTCGCATTTGCCGCTTAATGCAAATGCTTTCTAAAACACAGAACATTTTTTTTCTCAATGCAAAAACAAAAACTTAGACAACTTTGTATGAATTTGTCCCCAAGTTTTCTCAGTCCTGATTTAGTTTTGATCCCATCACTAAAAGGAGTGGCAAAATGGTTGTGTTCTCTGTACACCTGCACTGTACACTGCTGTCCTCCTCCTCCTCCCTTCATTACACTTTAGGTCAACGTCCTCCCCACTGTAAACTTAACTCCCCACCTCATCATTTACAACAAAAAAAAAAAAATTTTTTAAAGAAAAAAAATACAATCACTACATCTTACCCTATAACCAACTCCCTTCTGACCACAGACCCAATACTCCCCCCCCCAGCTGACGAGGATAAAGCCATGCACGCTTAGAAGAAAAAAAATAAAAAGAAAGAGCCAAATTCTTGTCGCACAAATTTTCTTTTCTCATTGGCTTCCCTATAACTTTTTGTACAGCAGAATATGAAAGAAACTCGAGTGAGATTTTCTTTATTTTAATTTTTTTTTTATGAGGAAGAATGAAAGGGGGGAAAAAACTGATGTTTGTAGTTAACTGTTCACTGATTGGGACTGATGTATTATTATTATTATTATTGATCTGGGATAAACTGTATGATTAATTAATTTCTATTCTTTTTTTCTAATTTTTTTGTTGTCATGGTGTCCTTGTAGTGATTGGTTAAATTTTCAACCTCAAGTTAGGAATTCCCCTCCATATTATTTTATATAATACACCCATCTTTGTAAGCTATATATATATATATATATATATATATATATATATATATATATATATATATATATATTCCTCAATGTATGCATGCATGTGTGTGTGTGTGGGGGTGGATGTGGATGTGTTATGACAATTTGTCTCCATATTTCTTTTTTGGGTTGTATACATAAGCATATCCACTCACTCGAATGACTCCCTTGCTGATTGATAAGCAAGTAAACCCTTGCAATGAAAAATGGTAAATCCCTATATGTAAACATTTTCTACAATTCTTCATGTTATAAAATGACACCTATTTTACTAATGCTAGTTCAGTATTTTTAATAATAATAATAATAATAATGATGATGATGATCCACATTATCTGTTCATGCCAATTGGATATTAAAAAAAAAAGTTATTTAAAAAATTTGTGGACTTGAAAGAAAGAAAAGTAAATAAGAATTTTCAAAATATTGGGTAAGTATTGACTGATTTCTCTACTTCCTGACACCATTTAATTTTTCTCTTCTGATTATAAAATGAAAAATATAGGAAAATAAATTTTAATAAAAAAATTAAAAAAAAAAAACAAAAAAAAACTCTCTGGACAAAAACTGTGCATTATGACAAATGGTTGGTTCTCTTAGAGCAAATTCTTTTGTTGGTCAATCCAAACATTTCTAACTTTATTCTAGTTATTAGTTCTGTATGTTTCTATGCGACAATGAACTCAAGATGTCCTCCTCAACAGATGCTTTGTAACACTTGACATTCTTCATATCCTGTCTGTCTGTCTGTGTGCACAACTGCACACCTGTCTCTGCCTTGGCATCTTTTCAGATTTAGATTTGTTTTTTGTTTTTTTTTTCTCTTTGTTTTTTTTTCCCTTACCAACAAAATCAAGTGGGCATTCATTAAAGCTTTTATATCCACTAACGTGGTGATTGGTGACATCCTCTCTTAATTGGCTTATTTTCTTTACTTCTAGATTTTACACACCTGGCAGCTGTAAATGCACACAGTTTCTTTTATATATAAAATACAAACTACATACACCTATGTACATTATAGAAAATATCCATGTATTAGTTACATAGACCAACACTTGCAAATGTGAGAGTGTTTGTGACACACAGACACATATTTATATGTAATATATCCCAGTCATATATATCAAAATTGAAAAAGATTCTACATGTTCAGATGTAAATACAAACAGATCTACATGCAAACAATTGCATTTAGCATGAAACAGACTTGCCTCTGAGTGTTGACCTCAGAGGTACACTTTTATATTTACATACACTCTATCCCTGATATTGAGCACTTTAACCCATAAATATAGCATAACATAAAACTATATTTTAAAACACACACACATACACACACACACACATATGATAGAAGATATAGTTTTAGGGTATGCTATATTTATGAGTAAAAGTGTTCAATATCAGGGATAGAGTGCATATAAATATGAAAATAAACACTGAGTGGTAAAAGTCTGTTTCATGCTTGAATGCAATCTTCATTGCCTGAAGATTGCATTCAAGGATGAAATAGACTGTCACCACTCAGTGTTGACCTCAGTGTCCACTTTTATATTTCTCCACTGAACAAAAATAAAATCTAACTTTATTTAGGCTGGATGCAGTTTTAATAAAATTACTAATTTACACAGCATAATGAATTGTTTACATTTTGGTCCATTATACTTGTGAAACCTTTTACTCAACTAGGTTTATTTTTCAAGTTAACTGTGTTTTGTGATGAAATTCTTAATTATTAAATAAGGAAAAAAATTTATTTTTTACGTTATATGAATTTGAGTTGTTCATTTAAGAAAAAAATAAAATAATTCTTTATAACTGTTGGAAGTTATTTCTGTACTGCATTTGATCACTTCAAATTGATAAATCTCTCTTTCATAAAGAGATCAAAATGGGTTGAAATTGATGCAAATGCATCTTTTATCCATGTTGAGTACATGACTTGTGGATTGAAGAAATTCTAGAACAATTTCTCAAAGATTCAGCACCCAAATTATATTTCTGAAGGGTGGGATAAAAAAAAAAAACTTTCAATTTATTAACAGATTTATAAAACATTTGCCAATATTTCATTAATTAATGTATACAATTTAATGAAGTAGGAACAATTAGCACATGTAGAATTCAATATTCTCTTGACACTATTCATTAAAAAATTTATTTGCTGTTATTTTGCCAATGACATTTAAGAAGTATTTGTTCTCATTATTTCTTTCTGAGGAAATGTCAAACAAATGTCCCTAGGATTTGCTTGTTCTCTTTAGATATGTTTTTTTTATAATTCTTTGAGTTTAAGGATGACTGTAAAAACTTCAACAGCTGTGTAGCTATTTGGTTACGAATTCTCAAACATATAGTCTACCAATAAGGTCAAACTAAATCCATCCTCCATGTCAACAAATTTATAAAGTGTAAAGTGTTCAGATTTCCCCCTTATAAAATCCCAAACTTAGTTGGTAGTCATAATTCTGCTGTTTTAATATTCTTTTTGTGTTGCTTTCAAAAATTGTAGATTAAAATTTTTATTTTTTTTTGTTTTTACATACTGACTTTAAATTCTGTCTTCAACATCCCTTGATGTTAAGGTTACTGCCTAGAATTTATAATTATTTGCAAATACCAATTATCATTAAACTTAGATATCAATTATTAAAGTATCTTCATTGGTATGCCAATATGACTGACAATCAGTTCATGGGAAATTACTCTGTAATTAAAAGAAGTTAAGAAACTTTAAGTTATCTCCCTTTGACAGATTTTTCTTTACGTTTTTATTCTTTAAAATATAAAAATTTGTGCTTCGAAATTGAGTTGTTTCTTTTTAGAAAAATTTTTCAGCTCATCCATTTTGTTACGATGAAACACATTGTAACAAAATTGTTCCTTCGGAGACTGGGAGCAAAACTACTGGTGGCATAAAATTACAACACTTTTCTCCAAAATAGCTCTAAAAATATCTTCTGGATGTTTAAATGAAGCTAATATATCTTGTAGGTTTACTCAGATGCCCTTGCTTAACAGTAATTATATATAGTCTCTGTAATATTCTGATATTAAATGTAAACAGAGTGGGGCTTATATAGTAATTTTCAAGAGAATACATTTCAGATTTCAACTGAAGTATGTGTTATTAATAATTATATTTATTAGAATATGTCTGTATCAGTTTTAGTTGACAATTATTTGATGTTAATCAAATATTAAATCCATATCTCTCTTAAATAGTTCCACTTCAGTTGTTAGAAGTGAGTAATTTGATTAATGATGGCATCTTTTCAGTTTCTCAGGAATATGGACCAAAATTCTTGTTGAATTTGGTGACCTAAGAAAAAAAACAAATTTCCTCCAATAATATTCAGTCTCATATCTCATCTTTGCTGCATTTCACGAGGTGTGTTTGATAGCGCCTTCCATGGGGATACAGTTCATCCAGTTAAAGATGTTCAAAATATAGAGTGGTGACCTAAATTATTGCAGGCAAATTCATAGTCAAGACTGCGTTTGTTTGTTCATATAATTTTATTTTGTCTTTTTTTATCAGGTTTATATTGGAATTTGGACATTTATGCAGTAAAATTTGAAAAAAATGGTCTCCTCTTTTCATCTTCCTCTTGTTCCTTTTCTTCTCTTGCTACCTTTATTCTTCTCTCCCTCTCTCTCTCTATTGCACTCAATGTCTTCCTTCCACATAACCTCCCACCCTCCTGGTATTGTTTATCAATCAGATTGACGTGAAAATTTTTTTTTTTTTTTTTTGAATATTTTTAAATACAAAACAGTATTTTATAAATCCTAGATTTCCTTTTATCTACTCTTTTTGAACTCTGCACATTACAGCAGAACACAAAAACCAATGCTGTGTTTGGTGGTGTTGTCATATTTCCTTTCTCTTGCAAGCTTTTTAGTTTTTCTCATTTCTTCTGTTGCTGGTGATAGGGCATTGTCTGTTTTTGGGCTTAGTTTTATGTGTTAATATTCTGTTATTTTAGAATTGTGAGAAATAGTGACAACATTT